CCTGTAACCCAAATATGAAACATCAGTTTGAATTAAGATCCTGTATAAATCTCAACATCATCCTCAAGTAGGACTGTAGTTCATCGTGCAAAGCTTCAAACATGGCATAAATGAGCAGCAATGAAACATGTCGGCTCAGTGTGTGTCCAACATTCAACGCTTTCAGAAATCCAATTATTTTCTCCCTCTGTCTGTCAGATGCTCACAGCTACATCTGTAAGGAAGTTAATCAGTCCACCTAAAATAAACATGTCGTGATAAAACTAGAAAGGCACAAGCTGTGATAGAGGTGGATCAAAACGCATCTCCAGTTGCTCGGTTTCCTTTTCTTCTCCATCATTTTTGCATGCCAATCAAACCACAAAGCACAAAAGTGACGGTTAAAATCCCTACTGGAGTCAATTTGCAGCCTGTTAGGTGGCTGCAGAATATTAAGCAGCATGTGAAGGTACCTGCAGATACCTCCACGGTATGTTTAGATGCTGTCATTGTCTCTCCTTGCCAGTAATCACCCCTGGGTGACCAGAGTCTCTCAGTGACTTATAAGCTATAGCTCGACTTTGTTTACTTTGCCTCTTGTTCCTCTGGCAGAGCTCAGACTGCCAGCTGGTTCTAAAAACCCACATAGGGACCCATTTGATGTCACTGAGGACGACAGATGATTTATACTGTCACTGTGAAGCCAGATTTTAGCCTGGGAGCTGATAGTAAAAATACACACATATACCTGGAGATTCATTCTCAGCAACTTCCATTCTAATCTTTTCATGCGATACAAAACTTTACACGCAGGGACTTTAAACCTTTGTCATCTGCCTGTTTGTGCTCAGACTGACAGCTGCTGCCACCTTTCGCTGACGAGAAAAATAAATAAGACAAAATAATACATCTATCAAAGCAATCCTTGGATTGCAGCTTTATTTTTAGTGAACTGTTACAGATATTTTAAAACAGTATAGGTCACAGGTAAAGGTTAAAACAGTACATCATTAGCTTTTACGTAAACTTCCTTCCAAAAATTTGGAGAGATGGAATTCACTGTGATGAATAATGATTTTAAAACTTTTTCCTGCTTGCTAAAAGATCCTAAAAGTTTCTTTTAGGAAAACACCAGCAGTTTTAGCTGCTGAAAACACCAGCTGGAGCAGCATGTAGCCCCCAAATGTTGCTTTATTTTGTTCTTTATGATGAACAATTTAAAGTAGAGAATTTATAATCAAAGCATTTGATTGAATTTTCAAAAAGCTGAGATTTACTTGTAATATCTGAAAAGTTACACCAGATGTTTTCTAAGCTGTAGCTTAGTGAGCAGATGTGATCAGATGAGCAGTGCGGCTTAGAGAAGGAAGCTCAGGTGTTACCATCTGTTCGGGGAGTTTTTTTTTTTGTTTTGTTTTTTTTGTTCTTGCAGGTTTGTTTGAGGTGGAGCAGATCCTGATGGTAAAAGCTTTATTGTGGAGAGATTTCCACAAACCTCACTAAGAAACTTGCATTTTGTTGACAGTTCTTGATTACCCCCGACTTATAAAAATGTATTTTTGCATCGAAAATTTGAACTTCTAAGAGGAGATGCCTCATACTTGCAACCTTTGGGTCATGCCAGGAAAACTCTGCTACATTAAACGATGCAGACTTCAACAGCGGTGCAGAGATAAGTTGGCATTTACAAAGACTCCAACAAGTGGAAAGTGTGGAAGCGTTTTTTTTTTTTTTTCTTCTTTATACTGTTGTGGAAAAGATACTAAAACTTAACACTTGTAAAAGAACAGCATTTATTTAGCGTTTACTTGTATTTAAAGTCGCTGAGAGAACCTTGATTTTATTATTACTAATGTCTGGTGGTAATAAAGTCACTTGCATTATAAGGCTTGTTTGCGGTAAATCTGTGCAGAAAATCTCATTACGCCTCGTCCATTGTACAAAATGACTCCCCTGATATGATTTCATTTCACCTGTCACTCATTGCATCAGTCCAGGCATCACAGATGTGCTTTTTTTTTTTTTTTAAACCGTTCTCATTACTTATAAAAACACAACACTCCAATAGAGGAACTCGTAACATCTCCAGTAGAAAGACGCTCATTTTAGAATCCATCCTGATCTTCAAAGCAAATGTTGAAATGTTTTTTGTTTCACTTGAGTATCTTTTTATGCTCAATGACAGGTAGGTTTCATATGAGAACAAATGCATCCGCTCCGAAAAACCCAGCGATAACTCGTCCTCTGATCTGTCTGCTGCACAAGATCTGTAAATGACCTTCTTAACATGCTCATATTACATTTCTGCTACTCCTGTCTGGCTCTGAATCTGTCGGTGACGAGAGTCGCTGTCCCTCGCGCACCGTTCAGCGTTCGCCTTGTCCGTTTAGTATGCCAGCCCTCCTGTCTGAGCGCCGAGGAGCTCCTTGACAGCTGAAGGAGAGTTAACCGGAGCAGATGATGGACAGGAGTTAAATATAAAGCCAGGATGGTCAGAAGGAAAAGAAAAAGAAGAGTGGCCATTGATAATATTTTCCGGTGTCCCTGTCACTGTGATTTATGGTGTGGAAATTTAGCTTTTGTAGTTGTGATTTTCATATTTTATCAGGATTACTGAGATTTACAGGTCGCAAATGAGCTACATTTTCATTCTAAAACAGTCAGTCTGTATTGCATGCTGTCAGGTCTTTTCTACTTTATAGGTGCCTTTACAAGACAATATTTACAGTTTATTGGTATAAAATCTTTTATTGTGTTTTTGGAATCTGACACTGAAAGTGTTAGAAATGTTCAGGTTTCAATCTGAGTACACCAGGAAGAAAACCAAATTCTCCTGTAGAGAAACCCCAATGCCACTTTGTCAGCCTCCTTTTGCCAGCAGAACGTCATCCTGGGCTTACAGATGGAGGGTCTGTTCTGCTGTTTGTCTTTGCACAATCTCTGAATTGTCAGGAGCTCCTGGGTCTCGTCTCATCGACTCTTCAGCTCGTCCTGCTGGTTTTCTATAGGATTCAGTTCTGGGGATGATTGACATGGCTGTGGTTGGTATTTTTTTCTGAACTATTGCTGCTGATTTTTTAATTATTTTTTTGTCATGTTTTGAAACATTAACTTGTCGAGAAACAAATCATCAGGTCAGTAGTATTGGGTCTCTGGCTGCGCACAAAATGGGCAATATTAGCATCAGCTTAATTGTTTCTTGGTAATTATGACACCGATCGGAGACATGGTCAACTTCGTATAATTCGGGGTAGCCATTCCCTAAATTATAGAAAATAAGCATACTTTTGACTCACTTCAGCTGTACATTGTCCTGTCTTTCCCATTTGAAAGAAATTCTCTTTGATACATCAAAGTTAAAGCTTAGAGAACTCAAATGTTCCTAATTTACTTCTAACAACTGCTGAAAGTGAAGTAAAAATCAAACAACGCTTCAGATACATTTGATTTGTGCCATTATATCTACTCCAACTCCAGGTTAATTTATCACTTTGTAACCTTATTTTGTATATTTCACAATTTCTCACCTGGGAAAAACCCCATTTTGGACATGTGTCTCTGCATACCTGGCATATATTTGTGTATGACGTGTGTTCAACAAATACATCTCTCTATAAGTTGGCTATTTGGGTCAGAAGACTGCAACATAGGTTACTAAAAAAGCATAATTAAAAAAAAATCTTATGTAAAAATATGATTTTTATTGCAAGTTGTAGGTTCAGTTTGAACTCAAAAGGGAACTACTTGGTATGATGAATCTTGGTAAGACATATTATTCGGTACATTTAAACTTGAAAAAGGCAAACTCCCAAAACAGCAAAATTATTTCTTGCACTAGTTATTTTTGTGGGGGAAAATAATTATGTCATATGTTTTTTTTTTTTTTTTAATGAAAACCTCTTTAAACATTTTTTTTGTCCTAGTACTGTTTATGTCAAAATGGAATTGTCTTTTTTAGTTAAGACCAAGAAAAAACAATATTAACTTGAATAATTTTAATGTAATTTTCAAAATGGAAAACTAAGTAATGTTTTCATTTGATGTACAACTGAGTTTTATAAAGAAAAAGAAAAAGGAAACATTAAAGCCTCTCAAATACATGCAACTTCCCGCTGAGTTTTCTCTTCCAAGAAAGGAGGTGCTGTAAAGGCAGTGGTTCCCTGGAGCCGGTCGGGTCCTGAAGGTTGAACATCTGAAAGCTGTCAAGATCATGAACTTTAAGTTGCACTTAGCTGTCATTGACCAATTCAAGCCTGATGCACTTAATGGTGACTCTTTGCTCTTAACGTCTCAGAAATGGTCACTGTGCATCATTTTCAAAGTGAAAAATCAATAATTTACTGTAAAAGGTGAGGTTTTAGCTTTTCAAAGCATGACATTTCCCCAGTAGATGAGAAATGCTTTTGCAGACTGTTTTTGGTTTTCTGTATATAGGTTATGTTAGGAGACACTTTGCCATTATAAAAATTGTTTTCTGGTCTTATGCCACAACTTGAGGTTAAACATATTACTCCATCAAGCTTCCTGACCCGTTTCTGTTATTTCTGTCAGTCTAAATTGAGCCGAACTTTGAAAATAATGCTGGAATTGAGTAAATATATTTAGATATTTTTATAAAGGTAAACAAAAGTGATTGTATTCGTTCACCAAATATTCCTTTTAAGCTTATCACGCTATTTGTGACAATTTGTGACAATGATAAATTGACTTTTTGATATAAAATTACCCTAATTTTTGTATTGTCATACCCACTCATGAATATGTATTTTTTCATTGAATGTGATCGTTAACAAAAGAACAAACACATTTCGTCCATCTTGTATACCATACTAAGAAAACCATCCAAGCTTTTCTTGGCAACCCAGTGTAATATTAGACTCAAATTGTCCTCCATTTTTCATAATTACACACTCCACTAATGTTTTAGATTCATGTCCATGATGTTTTAGTCCATGAATATTTTCATGAATGGTCTTGTAAAATCTAATGTCCTGAATGTTTCCGTTTTCCTGTTTCTGCAGACGGGGCTGTTTAAGTTGTCTGAGGAGGAGTTTTTCATTCAGCCTCTGGAGAAGTCCAGCGCTGAGACCTCAGCACCTCAGGCCCACGCCATCTACAAACGCCACGCGTCTCCTCCTGTCCACCGTCCAGTCATCCAGCCCATCTCAGGGAAACCGGGTCTCAACGGCACCTGTGGAAACCAAAGTAAGTCATGACTCGTCCCGTACGACACACATACATTTTTATTTGACATTATTCGGATTTCACTCAATTGAATTTGCAGTGGGAAATTTGACTTTATCGTTGCTGGATTGTTTCTGGAACAATCTAAAGATGAAGGCAACATTGTGCAAAAATAGTTTTACTCACAGATTAATCCACTGATGCTGATCTGTGAGACAATAGGATGCCTGCTTTGTCCTCTCTCTGCAGCTCATCCCTCGGTAATAATTGGCTCCAGTCTGAGGAATAATATATATATACGGTCATAAATCAGCTGTTTAAAATTCTGAGCTGGCTGAACTTGACTTTGAAGGACGGTTTAAAAACCTTGGGAGATTAAACAATTTTTTTTTTATGATTACATTTTAGCCAGTACATCCAGGGAGCCTTTTTTGTCAGTCATTTCAACAGCTGAATTGGTTCGTAAAAAATTTACGAGAGTTTGCTTTAAGACATTGAACATTTTCATTCTTCCTTTAAGTTCTTTTTTTTCTGAACATCTCGATGTTTCGATTGCATAAATGATTTCTTTAAAAATATGCATCACACAAACTAGACTTTTTACAACTATATATATATATATATATATATATATATATATATATATATATATATATATATATATATATATATATATATATATATATATATATATATGTATATGTAAAAGCGAATGTGATCATCATTAATATTTCTCCAGGCTTTTACAACGCTCTGTCTGATTTTGGCAGCTTTCTTTCTGTCCTCTGTCTGACCTGAACACAATATTGAGCAACTTAAGCTTACAAAAGTTTGGGTAGAGGACAAGTGCTGCATAAAATAAACTTCTGTAGTTTAAAAAAAAGAAAAAAGGAACTGCCTACAGCAAAAAAAAAGAGAGAAATCCAGCAACACAGGACCTTAGAGATGCAGTAGCTTTCAGCCACTGGCTCTTTAGGATTCCCCTTTTTTGATCTAAAAAACCCTTTTCTGTCTCTAAAGTTTGGTTCCATGTATATTCAACCAATCATACAGAAACAAACTGTCTTTGTTTTTCTTGTTTTTTTTTAATAGGTTTTATTGGCTCTAGTGGCCTTCATTTGAGCATCAAACAGGAAAAAGGGTAAAGAGAGAGAGAGGAAATGTGACAAAACAATCTGTGCTCTCCTCTAAGTTTGGACACTGCTGAACAGCATTCGCAATTCCTTAGGTTTATTTTCTGTTTCACATATTTTTACTCTTTTCAACCCCGTTTCCACGCAGATCACTTGGTTACACTTTTACATGTCTCGTCGCTCAGAGTCAAGCATGTTATAAGTGTGCAGGTGTCTGCCAGGAGCCATGAAGCCGTGAAACGGATCATGTGGCCTTCAGAGCACCAACATGTGTGCAAATGATCAAGTCACGGCCATTTTGATAGTTTCTGTAATATTTCTATCTTATTGAATCCTAGGCTCACATTTTAAACATATATTAACTCATGTACTTTACATTTAAAGTAACTGTAGAAGGTCCGTACTGATCCTGTATAAGTCTATTATGGGATTAATGTAAGGCTTATATCTCTTCCTTATTGTTTCTTTCCTCTTGTGTTTGCATTTAAAGCAGCAGTCCATCTGCACTCTGGCTCACGAACTACAACAACAACAAAAAAAAAAAACAGTTCAAGATTGATGTTTCCACCTCCAGGATTTGTAAAACCCCTGAGGAAATCTAATTTGAGTCCCTTTTTTGACTTTCATTACGCTTAAGCCATCACACCTATATCGGTTTGACAAATCCACCGAAAAGGGATAACTTTATTAGCTGCTGTCTTGCTATAAACATTATTTGCCAAATTTATTCTAAATCTGTCTTTAAGCGTAAGATTTATTTCCACTGCATCACTTTTTCAGAGAGCCCGTACTGTTCTCATTGATCCCTGGGAGCAGCGCTCGCAGCTGTTTGTCTGTTTTAATGATTTTATTCCAAATCTGAAGGTCGATGTGCTGCTGGTGTTCTTGGTCATAACTCTTCCTCATTTATATGAATCTAACAAGCATTTCTGAGACTATGTATATGCGTTGTGTGAGACATTTTTGCTAAGAATGAACTGAAAGTGCCCTTCACACAGTAAACAGATGAATTACTGTTGTTGGGTAAAAAGGGTGAGATGTTTATAAATACCTTAAATATGTAAATGATTCCATTTGATGTTGAGTTTCTATCAACACAAAAAGACATTTGTGTTGTGCTCATAAATAAATTCCTCCTGCACTAAGGTATTGGGTATTTTGAACCGTTTTACTGATAATTCAGTTTTGAAGCTCAGTTTTAAAATCACCTGATTCCTCATAGGAAGAAAAGAACTGTTAAAAGAAAAAGATTTTTTTTATTTCATTTGTAAAAAACAAAAAATACGCAATCATTGTATTTTCCAATAAAATATTTAAATTGTTGAAATAAAAAAAAACATATATAGATTTTCTTGTTTGATAAAATATTTGTAAAAATACAATAATTTGAACATAGGTGTCCACACACTGCAGTGTTGCTGATTAGCAAACAAAAACAAAGCTGTTCCTAGAGAAACTAAGTACACCCTTTCTGGTCTTAATTGCAAAGTGTCTTTGAGTGTTCAGAAAAGCGCTATAAAAGTCTAATTTCATAAAAGTCGAAGTACCCGTTAGGTATTTTCAATCAAAAACCTAATGAGTTGAAGCTCGTAGAGAAAGAGGAGTTCAGTTGGCTTGTTACTCCGGTTCACACAAGTGTTTCCACAATGCCAAGTAGAAATTACTTTTTGCAATCACTTTTGATTCCTTGATTGCTTGAGATTAGATCTCAAGTAGGAAACACTCAAGTGCCAACCTTCTCTGTAAGTTTACTACAGGCTGAGCCTAATTGGAACTCAAGAGCCGAGTTTTAAAGTGTGTAGTCCTCAATCGATATTTTTGACGGTGTTCAAGACGGCAAGTACAAAAGAGTCTAAGTACATCTGACTTTATTCGGAGGGGTTATCTAACGAATAAGGCTGTAGATACCAAGATAGATGGGTTAGCAACAACGCATTGCACAATACTTAGTGAAAACCAAATGCAGCACGCCAACACCTCTTCCCAGCCATTGAGCATGGTGATGGAAAGTCGATGAATATCTCTTTGATCCCAAAGGGAAATTAAATGTTATAACATATGCCAGTGGATCCCGATGATTGTAGGGAAAAAGAATCTCCTGTAGCAGTCTGTAATACAGCAACACTGAAAAAAAATCAATGACTGAAAACACTCCATGCACACGAGAAACTAATAAAGTTACATACAAAACACTAAAAGCAGGTTGTGAAACCTATTCAACCAACGAGTGTGTAATGTTTCGACATTCAGTGTGTAAGGTTGAAAGGTGAGATAATTTTTTGTCCCTCAATTACTAGGATGTCCACTTCCTTTACTTCGCATCAGTTGTAGGACAGACTCTTCCGTCCCAAAACATAAAATAAGTCAAACATCTCAGCGTATGTCAGATGATGTGTGAACTCTAAAATCCTTGCGTCTCCAGATACCCTCCAGAGTTTTGAGGACATCGAGAGGCAGCGGGAGCGGTGGGAACGACGCCATCACAGGCGGAGGCGCAGAATTCATCAGCGCTCCGTAAGCAGAGAAAAATGGGTGGAGACGTTAGTGGTGGCGGATCCCAAAATGGTGGACCATCACGGGAGCAAAGCTGTGGAGGACTACGTCCTCGCTGTCATGAACATTGTGAGTATTTTACATTTAGTGCTTTGAAAAATTAACAATTTGATTATGTGCACTGAACTACATTGTCCCGACGCATTCATCAATGCACCACCCAAAGCCTTCAGTGTTATTTATAAACTAAAACATAAATAAGAATCATGTCATCCCTGCAAGTATTTCAGTCAGATTGAGTTTGGGGGAACTGAACAGTCAAATCAACACTTGAATTAATAATTGAGAGTTTTTTGCAGCATGGAGTATTATTTTAACTAAACGGGACTCCATCATCGGTTAATGCAGTTGCCATAATGCAGTGTTGCTGCTTCAGTGTCTCTCTGTGTCATACATTAAAATGCTGTTGTCAAGATGTCAGAATCCAAGTGTCTCATCAGAAAGTGGCCTGCAGCTTCAGGCTCTGCCATCTTCCCATAGTGCAATGTGTTGTAATTTCCTCCCCTGATGAATGACACTCACAGCCAACCAGCTTTATGCTTCATGGTGGTGTGATGTATATTTTACAGTGTTTTGACTGCTTCAGCGTGTGGCTGCAGGATGTTGCCACGCCTTTAAGATGGTAAAAACAGAGCAGGCATTAAATTCAAATGAATGTGAAATTGCGCTTTGCATTATTTAAAGTAATTTTACATTTAACAAGTTATGTCATTATTTCTTTACAAAGTTACTGAGAAGTTAAAGAGGAAGTATTCCGTCAGACCAAATTTTTTTAGCGTTATATTACATTAGAATATTATTCCCTTATTCTTTCAGTCTCCCGTGGAAACCATTCAGGGGCACTGGCGTGGCGCGGGGTCAGTAGATTGTGGATGCGGAATTTGGTCAATACAGGCAGGAAAACGCTGTGAGGTGAAGGTGGGAAGGTGGAGGGCTTCCCAGGGTCTTATGGTGGCCAAAATAAAGAGGCCTTAGACATAAATTCGACATTGATCAGTTTTGTTTGTGTCGGTGAGATGATCGATGCCAAGTTGCCATCGATCATAGAAAAGCTACTCCGTGAGGGAAAGAAATGAGAAGCTGCAGGAATAGCTCTCAGTCTCAAGGATTAAGGCAAACGTGAAAGAACAAACCTTTAGTGAGTTCATAATAACCCACATTTGCACATAGCACAACTACAAAGGTGTAGCACATCAAATAATGTGAAGATAACTAAGGAGAAAACTGTGACTCCAGGGCATCCTCTTATTCCATTAGTGGAGTTCAGAATACACGTATCCTGTGTTTGTTATAGATACTGGCTTTGCTCTGGCCTTAATCTTGGCCGGCCACCATCGGGGTAAGAGACAGCTTGATATATCGGCCCATTTAATGTGACAAATTGAAGTTTAGAAGTTAAAAAGGACTGCTAAAGGCAATGAAGTCGATGAGTGGGGGTGTTGACATTCACAGCTGCTTTAGGCATTAAGGTTACAAATTCTCACATCACAGGCAGAGCTTAGTCTCCCTGAAGTGCAGAAGACTGCACTGCCTGTCTTTTTACAGGTTTGTATGGTATATAGGTGGTTCTGGTTGTCAAATACTACAACCTACTGATAAATGACCGTGGCAACATTAGCAGTTCTGGGTGCGAGAGTGGATTACTGATCACAGCCTTGTGATGCACTTACCCATTGAACTTGAGAGAGAGCACTGAAGAAAGGTGATTTAGCCTTAATCTCCTTTCCAAGGATTGTCCATAAGACTACAGTGAATTTTCCTTGTAATATATTTTAAACAGAGAAACATAACTTTTTTTGTCTGCTTTTGTTTGCAGAGAAGTATTAGTGTACATTCAGCTACATATTCTAATAGATTATTCTATGGTAAAATATTTTAAGTTAAGGAATATTTTCTCAATATAATTACCAGTAATTAGTTTCTACTTTTATTTGGGTGGAAACTGCATCTAAAAGCAGCCTGAGCGCTTAAAAAAGCAACAACAAAAAAAAAATACCCAGACATTTTTTGACAAAAAGTTTGTTCTTTGGTGTCTGGAAAATGAGTCATTTCAAAAGCCTCCCGATAAAATCACAAACTATGCACTGTGCTGTTAATAGCAACCCCAGGTACCTAGAACTCAAGCTGAACTCCGGCCCATCTGTGCTGTACAATTACTGCTGGAACAGACAAGTGCTTCCTTTTTGATTTTTCACCCAGAAACTGCTTGCAGCTTTCTTGTTGGTTATGCAGGAGGCTCTACTTCTGCTTTTCAATGATGTACAGAATTGCACAACCATATGCAACCATTTTTATGTGTGAAAATGGTTGCATACCATTTTTACACATGAAATCCAAATATGGTTTTAAAGTGGCAAAAGGCCATATTTGGATTGAAAGTGGCAAAAGGCCCTAAAACAGCTCATTCTGAAGGGAGCTCATAATTGTCAGGCTAAAATCTCATCACCGAAGAATCATTAGGGTTTTGCACACAAAATTAAAAATTTTTTTGTATGGCCCAGAAAACCTGTCCTAACCTTTTCAAAGAAACATAATAGATCACATTTAAACATATAATAGAAGGTCAAAGAGATGCTCTGGTGGAGGCTTAATACAAGTTCCTGGTAGGCATTTCTAGTTGAGTAGACTGGATGCACTACAAGAAAAACGGCTGCAACCCCTGGATAGTAACGGAGGAGCAGTTCCTCCGTTAGTGGCAGAGATAAGGCCACTTATCTCTGCCACTTATCTCTGGGCAGAGATAAGTGGCATTAAAAGGGATAAAGAAGTGGAGAAAGAGAAGAAGACACACAGAAACCCACCACCATTTGCGGGTCATGACAGATTGCCTCATTCACAGAACATGCTGTTATCAACCCATGATGAGCCATTCTTTCAGCTGCTGCTCATCAAGCACTGGCGAGCTTTCAGATACGAACCGCCATCGTAAAACCAAATGAGGTATGGAGTAGAGCTCGGCAGGGTCACAGGAAAGAAGCATCTTAAGGTTGAACACGTAAATGTGTATTGAAACTTTTTTTTTCTTCTTTTTTTCTATTTTCAAGCTTTGCTGCACCTGAAGAAGCTTCACTTGGCTGAACTTCAGGGGTCTGTTGCCTTGGTGCACTGTCTTGCCTCTTTCTTTTCTTCTTCTGCTTCCTTTTGCACCAAGTCCCCAGACCATCTGGCTGCTCAGCCCAGATGTAATTACTGCATCAAGCTCTTGAGGTGCAACAGCAACTATACCGTATCATAAATCAAATAATGCAGCGAAGTGATTACAACGCGAGTCGAGGCGTGCAACGCTGGCAGGTTGAATTCAGCCCACGTTGAACAGAATAAAACAGACACCATGACAGAGTGTCTAAATCCCTCCTGCAGGGGATGTTTGGAAGAGGCTGAACTTTCTTCCTGTACTGCTGTTATGAAGCACAGATTGTTTCACATGATCCTCAATTTGTTGACTCTTTAAAATGATATGTCTTAATAAAAGTTGCACCTTTTTTTTTTTACGTTAATGCCAGAAATATGGTGTTTTGATAAATATTAGACCTAAGTAGCCAGAGGTGCATGCAATTACAAATGGTGGGTGCAATGTAATTATCTCAAAGGACACACTGATGGGATAATATATTTGAGGTGTCAGGCACTACATTTTGATTGCATAGCTCACTGGTTGGATTGGTCATAATTCTCAGATTTTTACTAGCTAAGAAGCCGAGGGATGACAGAGATTGCCATTGCAATTTTTTAATCCGTTGTTTTTCAAATAAATGAAATTATGCAGCTCTGTTTTTTACTTTAAACTTGCGAAAGCAATTCAACATTTGAGTTGCCAGATAATTATTTTCAGCCATTTTCAACTCCAATGTAGGAATTTCAAGTTTTCTTTTTTAGGTTTCATATTGTATGTAAAAAATTAATATGAACTTCAATTTGATCTCCAGCTGGAAGTTCTGCTTTCTTAAGGCTTGGTGGACCTTCTCAGTCCAGCGGCCGCCTTCGTCTCCCTAAATTCAGATCTTCGCACAAGGTCTGGTGTTGCAGCTCATGTGGAGGGATGTTTTGTTGTCGGGAGCCTGATTTAGTAGACAATACCTACAGGTTTTGTTATTTGTTGTTTTGGAACACAAAGCAGAGGTCACACCTCATTCTGCATTCCCACCAGCAAGCCTTAAGTGCTGCAGACTTTCCAGTTCACAGCTTGTAATTTCTCTGACCTCTCCTGCAGAGCTGCTGCGTACAACAGCCAAAAAAACCCCAAAAAGACAAACGAAAAAAAAAAAAACCTGCTGCTTTGAAATGCTCTCCAGTACAGTCACTCAGCTGCAGAGATAGTCACAGGGCTGGGTTCAATCAACAAAAATGGAGGTTTTGGAAACCTGATTCCTCAAGTTAATCAACTTTACACACACATTTTGAATGACACTGGTGTGTAAGAACAATTTGTTTTTAGCTTGGAGTAGAGGTCACATCAAAACAGGAAAACATTCAAAGTTTCGTATTTTATGTAGCAAGTCATTTATGTCTCCTGAGAATGTCCTTGAAACCCTCACGTTGAAAATATTTGACCTCTGCTACATCTGGTAACTTCTAAGACTTTTTTTAAGACTTTGCAGTGTGACATTAAAAGTCATTTAGAGCATAATTAGCTTTACTGGATCTTGAAGAGATTGAGAAAGAAAGCAACCTGCTGCCAACCGCTATATCATACATGAAGGGAAACATCTTGAATTGGGCTGTCGTACGCCATCTTTAAGTAAAACTTGATGACTTGAAACAGCTGATCCTCGTTCTTTGACATGTTCAGTGGAACGTGGCTCCAAATTGTTTTCAGAAAATCCATTTCTGTAGATATTTTCCACAGAGAACATCTTAAATAGTCAAAGGAAAGTGCAGCGTAGAAAGTTGAAATGATTCTGTGCAATGCTATTATACACACTTTCGCAAAGTAGCCAATACAAGATCTAAGCGTGGTTGTCTTAGGAACAATCCACATCAGGTTTCAATTAATATTTAGTCTACTGTGAAGTTTCTATATATCTTTTTCCATCACCTAATGGATTGTTATAAACATTTCTGTGCTGTCAAATGAGTTGAGAGAACGTCAGGAAGGGGAATTCATTGATGAAACGGAGACGGTTTAACTGACTTAGCAGACAATTTTGCACAAAGGAAGTAGGCATTATTCTCTACTTCCTCTCCTGGTTCTTGTTTGAGGTCTTTTAAAGCTTTCAACATTAAAGCGCCGCACAGTCCTGTTTTGCGATAACAATATAGCAGAGCCTCAAGGGAAGCAAGTTCTTTCTGGTATCTAAACAATAATTTCATCATCTTCCTCCGACACAGTTTGCTCCATTGTCTCATCACTGATGTTTGTCTTTGAGCGCAGCAGCAATGCAGCGCATCCGTATTGTGGAGCCGTGCCGTCCTCTGCGCTCACAGCGGCTTGACCAGATGAGTTTCCCCCCAACTTCCTACATATTGTGACCTGATGGTTAATTATTTTAGTCCCTCCAGGATGTTTAGGATCAATATGTTTAATTAAAAGTAGCAGCTGAGGTAAATGACTCTGAAAATTCTTGGGACACGATGTGGACTTCAAGACCAAAGTGCAAACGGTTTCTCGACCCAGTCAAAACGTGCCCACTGGTTTGAGCAGTACAAACGGCTGTGGGACAAAAGTCATTTCAACCAGTTCAAAATAACCTCCGCTCTGTTAGAAAACTCAACGTCTAAACAATAGAAACAATGACAGGGGGACATGGAATAAAAATAGCCTAAATGTATATCCATTATTACCGACTCCAGTGGGACATCTGCTGTGCTTAGAGCCGCATTTTGATTAACTTCTTCATTTGTGTCTCAAGCTGCAGATTCAACAACTTAATGTACACTTCCTGAATAACTGACCACACTCCTGTTTTAAATTAAAATGTCGGTATAGGTTGCACCAAATCAACCCGGTCTCTTTTTTGCACCTGGGATTGAACCTGTTGTCGTTTCCAGCAGGAAATTCAATGTTGCTTTTTAAACTCTTAAAGCATAAAACCAATTTCTTCAACTGAAATGTGCTTCTTGCATTTGTTGTGCTGAACGTGAAGTAAAAAATAGGACGCTGCATGTTTATGACCTTCAGCAATGTTGTGGGACTTTAAAACGAATGTTTTGTTACTTTTTAGTCTCTGTATTTATTTGATATTGGAAAAACTATTCTACAGCGTTGATTATAGAGTGTGGACAAAAATGTCACGGTCATGACAAATCATCAGGTCTAGCATACCCTCAAGTAAAATTGCAGCCCGTTGTACTGTGGTGCCTCTGAAATTGAGCCATTTGGATGAAATGTATCTAAAAACACTTGAAGACCAAATTTGTAGCGTTATATAGTCTGAAGGGCAGCTCGATATCTTCTACAGAGGTGAATCTGAATACAGACTTTATTACAGTCTGAATACATACATTTTGAGAATTCTCACTTGGGTTTTGTGAATGATTTTTTAAAATAATTTTTTTTATATAAACATGTGGCAGGTACGTTGCTTTGAAGGTGAAACAAGTTTCCTGTCAGCAGCTGAGTTTTACCTTCAGAGGCTGTAAACCCTCCTGACCAAGTCATTTTAGTCATTAAAGATAGAGCACATAACACCAGTTTTATAGTCCCTCCACTGGCTCCTTGTGGCTCAAAGAGTAGACTTTAAAATACTGCTGTTAGTTTATAAACCACTCAAAGGCTTCGCCCACCTGTTGGTGGGCTAAGCTAATATAGTTTAGCAGGTCAATTTTTTCCATGACAAAACTTAAAAAGCTTCTTGCTTTTATTACAGTAGGGAACGAACATTTACCCCAAACCTGTCATCTAATGTAATTTATTCTTCAGTAACTCGTGTAATATTAAATCCTCTCCCGACTCCCGATTCCCCCTGGTGGTGGATGAGGGGATTTATTAGAAAATTAGCCATATGGGAGGATTAGAAATCAAATTTTGATTAACTTTGCCCTATTAAATCCTCTCCCATGTCCCTGCAGTCAGTCAGCCCAAATTTCCCATATTAAATCCTCCCAACTCCAGATTCCCCCTGGTGGCAGATGAGGGGAAAGTTTCCATATTAAAAACAAGAATCCCTAAGAAAGTGGTGGTTTTGTGATGAGGGTTCAGCAGCTTTCCTGCTGCTGTGTGAGCATTAGCTTTGTCGATGCTGAGGCTCACATATTTATCACACTTCTCTCAGCATTTAATTCATTTCCTTTCTTCTCTGGATAACCTCAGTTTACCTCCTGCAGCCTCTGAGAGAGCTTCCTAAACAACCACAACCTTCTTCAAATTGAGACGTGTCACAGCCGACGCTGTAGGTTGTGCAGGTGTTGTTCTGTTTTTGACAGCACTTTGTTGCTCAAGCCTTAAAGTAGAAAACAGCAAACATCTGATCACATCATCTCATTCTGAAATCAACTATTCTTTTTAGCATTCAAGATTTCATAGCTTTTATCTCATCGTGCTCCAGCCTCAGAGCTGGAGGTAGCAGAGATGAACTGACTGAAAGGTTAATTATGTAATGAGTTACGTTGATCTGATCCGAGAGCGAAAGGTGTGAGGACTTGGTGTATTAATATTTAGAGGAAAAAACAAATCAACGTACATCATGCATTTCCTTTTAATTTCCCAAAGAAATGGAATCCTTTGAATAATTCAGGTTATTTTATTAAATATATAACAGATAAAAACAGAGAGAATGATATTAGCATATGTATAAAGTGAACTGGATGCCGTGGGAAGGATGTGCTTTTCTTTGGTTTTATCCACTGACTGGCTGTGGAAGGGCAAAGTATCTGGGTCCAGATCCCGGCCTGGAGTCTCTCTGAATGGAGTTTGCATATTCTCCCTATGCCTGTGTGGGTTTTCTGCAGGGATATGTCTTGCTGCCACGGTAAAAAAAAAAACCCTGGAGATTACATAATTAGTCACTTTAAATTGAGTGTATATGTGTGGATGTCTATTTTTCATCCTGTGAACTGTGATGGACTTGTGCAGGGTTTAACTGCCTCTTTGTGTTAACTTTGAAAGTTTGATGTCAAATGATTGAGACATTATTCTGTTCCATTTCTAGGAAATGTGCCAGTCTTTCATCCACTGTGCCATGATGCGATACGAAACTGATTAATTTTAAGCAATTCGGGATGAGGCTTGTTTTTGGATTGCTTGTTTTCTTGTTTTTAAGAAAACCTGTCTGAAATAAACAAATCAAATCAAATTAAGGCTGTAAAACAACAAAATACAGAATAAGTGACATGCTGCCAGCATTTTATATGCAGTAAACACTTTTACATATGCAGTGTGTTTGACATGTCCTGCTCATCAGCAGGAAGCCTAACAGCATGAAGCTTACTTTCTCTTTCATTTTTCTTTGTTGATCTTCTCCTCCTTTCTGTCTCTCTCTTACCTCTTCTCTCTCTCTGTGACATGCCAAAGGCGTGTGTCCTTGGGGTTTAATTTGAGGAAGAATGCATGTGACCTTCTGTAGGACAAACCGAGTTTTGATGGTTGGATATCACTGCAAGTGACGTAGTAGAAAGAAATTGTGTCGCTCTTGTTTTTCTCGTCTTCTTTAGGTGGCGGGTCTCTTCAGAGATGCAAGTATCGGGAATGCAATCAACGTTGTGGTTGTTCGTCTCATCCTTCTGGAGCAGGATGAGGTAAGCCCTGCTTGTGTGTTGATGAGGCGATGGTGAGATTGCACAAGGTTAAACTTCTTTCTACAAGGCAACACTGATTGCAGTGTGAAATAGTTAATTAAAAATAATCACTGCAGGTCACAGCCTGGATTTCAGAGCCTGCTTCAGGCTACTTTTGACTTATTTTGATTTATTTTAATATCATGCACTTGTGGATTTATCGTTCAATTTTTACTTGATTAAACTACGTAACTAACTGAAGTATAAAATAAACGCATATCTTAACATTCGCGGTGTGGTTTTGCCTCCAGCATATCAATAATAAATATTTCTAATTGGCTGCAGCTGCATAGAAATGTCCTCATCTGAGATGCATTTATCTCATCTAATCCCATCTGATGCAGTCGATCCATCTTCCCTTCAACTTTCTTTTTTTGTGTGTTCTCATAGAAGTGTGAGGAACCATTTTAATTAGAGCGATGTGTTTGAAGAGGCACATAAACCTGTTTGAGCTCCAGCTTTTTTGTCAGCGTTTGATGCCATGAAAATGAAATAATGTAATGAAAAATGTTTGCACAACAAGCATCTGCACGGACGTGTTAATTAGAGTGAGTCTGTGCCTCAGACGTTCGAGAGTGTACAGTGTCAATTAAAATGACGTGGATAAACATTTTTTTTTCCTTTGCAGATAAAGTTAATTGTATGCCGCTGCTTAATTTGACTGAATTAACCGTGACTATCTCTTCTGGCTTTTCTGCGTGGAAAGCGAAGTGTGTTCTGTTTGTAATCGTGCTGAAAATGATTCACAGTATGTTTAAGTTTAGTCATTTAATCTTTCTATGCTGTTTGGAAGATTTAACACTTTAAAAAACAAAACAAAAGAAAAAAACTTTCCTCCTCTGTCTGTTGCCAGGATGCTTAACTTTAAAAAAAAAAGTTTTTGTTAAAATATCAGATTAACCAAAGAACTGATGTTGTACTTTAGTTGAACTTGAATCGTTTTAGAAATATTTAAACATTTTTTTTCTGTTCTACTTACGATGGATGCCTAAAAGGATGACCTAAAGATCACACACCATGCCGACAACAGCTTGAACAGCTTCTGCAAATGGCAGAAGAAACTCAACATGAAAGGAGACGAACACCCGCTGCACCATGACGTAGCTGTTCTGCTCACCAGGTAGTTCCCAGAGGACTCATTCTCCCTGAAATATATTGTAAATCATATTTTTGCCGGCTTTGCTTTAGTGTGTCTGCAGTCGTGAAAGCCATGAGCTCTGCTTCACCTTCTGTTGGGCGTCATACATAAAAGAACATACAATATAAGGGGATACTTGAGGTCAGCCGCCGGGTGTGTTGTGCGAACTTTAGAGGAAAGATTTTGGCCATAACTTCACCGTCGGCTTGAGTGTTGCTGCAGGTTGTAATAAGACTTTGCAGAGAAGTGTGTCTTTTGTAGCATCAAAAGAAAATATGCCCATAACTGAATCAGCTTGCAAAAACATTCATTCCCTTTGAAAGTTTTCCACATTGAGTCACATTAAAACCCCAAATTTCAAATTGTCTTTGGTGATTTTTATCTGCTAAACCAACATAAAGTAGTTATTGATTTTGAAATGTAGCAATGAAAAGTATTTTTTTTAATTCTTTTTATTTTCCTTGTAACAAAAAAAGGAGATGTGGATTTGTTTTCAGCCCTCCTTAGTCGATACTTTGATAAAATGTCTTTTCAGGCAAAGGGCATCAGATCTTTTGCAGCATGTCTCTACCAGCTTTTCTAAAGAGGTGATCATAGTTAATTCTTATTAACTAAACATATTGAACTCAGTCAGATTGGACGTCTTCAAACCTCATTTTCATACTTGCCACAGATCCTCATTTGGATTTAGGCTTAGACTTGAACTGTGATGTAAACCGTCCTGTTGCAGCCAAGGTTGACTGTTTATGGTTGTCGTCCTGCTTAAAGGAGCCAGTCTTAAGTGTTTTGCAGCCTATAATGGGTTTTATTTCTGTGCTTTCCTGCATTGACCTTCATCCACCGTCCCATGACTTCTGGGTAGAGTTGCCAGTAGAGTGGCACTGCTTCAACATATTTTTTACTAAAGTAAAAGTCAAAGCAAGTTACCCAAAAAATGATTTAAGTAAGAGTGAAAATTACTGAGTAACTGCTCACCTCTGAGTATGAATGACTGCTTTGTTATGAAAACCACCAGCATAAAATACACCAGGTCACAGCTGCGAGCCACTCGGGTCGTGGTGGTCACGGCCACAAAAAGCCGTACTGTGCGTCTCTTATTTTAATTTCTGAGAAGTGTCTAAACCCTTGCAGACCTTAAAATTAAATTTTGCTCTCTTGTGCACCGTCTTCTGATTCTTCAACCTGAGTTGTGAATGTTTTTGGCTTTTAATGAGATACTGAGGGTCTCTCAGTTCTTCTCTCTCTGATGCAGTGTCAAAAACGCAAAATCTTTGTGCTTCTAGTTTCTATTGTAAATATCTTATTGTAATTAAAACAAGACAAAACTGATTGTAGCTCAAAATTTCTAATTATTATTGAGTTAATATTAGTTGCTATATACTTTCAGTCTTTTGATGTTGGTTTAAACAGTGATTATTGTTTATTTCCTGACCCTCCTTTAAGCTCGCCACAACTTTGTCCTTTGGCCTGATTGTTTAGAATTTATTTAGTCAAAACCCTGAATGATTTAGGAACTGTGTTACATGTAGATTACATTTCATACTATTGGCATATTTCATGGTAGTTTACATCTGAACATAGTTGTATTTTATTCAAGGATAAAAGAGTCGAGGGCCTGAACACTAATCCGCACCACACTTTTTTTTTTTTAATTCACCTTCCTTCCAATAAAAGAAAATTAGTTTTATGGCTGTAACATGGAAGAAATTGCTTAAAGTTTAATAGGTGTGCTGTATCTTCTACTAGTGCTTAGAAGTTTTTCTAATCATTGTTATTGAAGACCGAACGGCTTCTTATGTTGGCCTTTCGTCAAGAGATTTTATTGGGCTCATTCATGGCTCTCATCCTATGTAGGACAGCGGGGAGCCTGGCGTGCTTCGTGATCTGAAGGGAGTTCTCAATGCGTAATTATGGCCGATCTGTAATGTGATATTATTGTGGGAGTGTGTCAGCGGTCATTTTGCCCAGCCAACTGCAGACATTTGCCACGGTCCCAGTCTGCCCTAAATTATTAATGGCTGAGAAAACGGCGATCAGATCTGGGGTGTCCCAGTTAACAAAGTGTCTGAAAGTAACTTTCCTTCTCGCTCTCGAGCGCACACAAGTAAAACACTGCTATGTGCATATATGTTGAATACGTGACTTTAAAAGACATTCTCCATGACTCCTTTTGATTAATAGACCCGACTCATTAGTGTTGCATTCACTGGCTTTCTTGAATTCTTTGCTGTATTCTGAGTGTGCAGAGCAATTAAAGGAACAAAGCAGATGCCCTTTTCCCTCTCTCTCTCTTTCCAGAATGCATTCTGCACATATTTGAGGTTGACTAATTATAAAGTTCCAAAGCATTATTTTCAGTGAGTAAAATCATCAGAATTTCTTAGATCTGAGTAATTTGCCTTCAGCTTTATGAACCTGATTTAATGCACAAATGTAGCTTCCAGACGTTGCCTGAGGTGAAATATTCCCTCTTCAAGGCCAATGTGATGTTGCAAGTTTTTTTGTTAATAATTCCAAGGTTCGTAAACATTTTAAAGCACAGGATTACCAATAGAAAATTATCTCATTTCACTATTTCATATTGAACATCACTATAAATCGAGAAATGAACTGTTTTACACCTTGTGGCGGTTCGTTGGCAGAAGAAAAAACTCATCTCTTAAAATCTAATTAATTATGGTTTATAAAACATAATCTCTTTTGAAATACTGTCTTTCTGATTAGACACAAGAAATTCATAATTGGTAAGATGTTTACTTTGTGGCACTTGGTTACCAGAAAACATGCTCATCTATTAGCAACAGATCAACAACAAATATTATTGCTCAATAAAAAACAGAAGATTTCTTCTGCTCTTTTGAAATAGTACTTATGTTACACTACTCACTACTTTACAAGAATTGTGCAGTTGGAGAATTCTGCAGAAAAGTGAATATATACATTTATATATAGAGAGAGATAGAGTCATTGGTTATATATAAAACATATATAACCAAAGGTTATATATGTTTTTTAACCATTGGTGGTTATAAAACATATATACTTGTCTGTAATAAGTATATATGTTGATGTCTCTGTAGCTCTCTACAGCTCTGCCCTCCGTTTGGAGACGTTTTATGTAATACCTAATGCTTTGATACGAGCCTTCAAAAACTGACACGAAAAATTGTAAATTACGTTTACTCCATCTCTTGAAGTAGAGCGATAGTTTGGCATTAAAGTGAAACATGGTTACAGATATGAACAACTAACGTTTGTCATTAAGGCCTACTTCAAAAGTTAAACTATTCGTCTGAAACTGCAGGGATGCAAATGAGAATCTTCTGCGCAGATGAAGTTCTTCTTAGGTTTGCGGCTCTCCTTGACTATTTTTACCTGTCAGGATACAAACTCGAAGAAATTACATGCGAGCAATACTCACATTATGGTTGAGATGAGTCTTTTTTTTCCACACGTCTCTTTTTAAGGGTCACTGCCCAGGCCAAAGGAAAGTGAGAAACGTGTCTTCTGTAAGGTTTTTACAGAAGCAGCATCCTCATTAACGTTTCAAAGAACAGAGTGTCTCTGCTGGATGGTTATCTAAGATGTTGTCACTGATGTTTCCACAGTAATTAGATTCTCTATTGACTGCTGCAGAACATATGGAGTAGGAAATCAGACTTGCAAATTCGCAGCCATAACAAAGGCTAAGTATCTCTTACAGACTTTTGAGATCATAAACACACAGGAAAGAAATTCTATAAAAACCCTATTTAACCTGACAATTTTCCTTTGAGCAACTATCTAAAATATATTTGTATAGATTTTTTTTTAAGTTTTACTGATGCCTTCAGCGGTTCTTTCCTCTGGGGTAAAAATATGATCTCAAATTAGCTTGTAAAATTCATAATGGCTTATCTGTCATTCACTCAGACATCTGGTCAAAATATACACATTCAAGCTCAAATGTACTCTATTTTACCATAACCGAGAACAATCCATTTGTAAATTACAGACATGCCACACAATTTTGGCCGCCATTAACAAGCTTCTATCATCATTGACTGCTGAATATTTAACCGTCCCTCTTTAACCGTCCCTCTTTTAAGTAAACACAGTCAATACTTTAAACACAGTATTGACTGTGTTTAAAGATTTTTAAACACAGTCCATTCATTTTCAATTGGATTAAATTTGGGATCTCCTTGTCCTGACACAGTGTCTCTTCTTTTAATCGTCTCGTCATTAATTGGTGGTAATTTTAAGGTGTTAAAATATTTTCAGCAAAGGCCTTAAATAATGATTTTTTGTGTCCATAGTGACTGAACGTAAACTGTTGAGCAGCAACAAGAACTCTGCAATGCCTCGGCCTCTTGCTCTAGCTGAAGGTATTCAAAATTGCAAGTTCCAACCAGATCCAACCTTGATATTATATTTAAAATGTCCAAATCTAGCTAGATTAATTTTACACCTATGCAAATGTCCTTGCTGATGATGTCTCAAAAGAAAAAAATTACAAAATCAAAAACGGCATGACAAAAGCTTCCTCTGGGGCTCTGCGGTAAAAACAGACTTTAGTTGGATTGAAAACACAATTATGAGCCGACTATGAGGATGATTCAGAAAGGAAGGTTGGTTTGTGTGCAAGACAAACAAAGCAACAAGAAAATTGGAGAGGATGCCAATTACTGGATTTTTAACTCAAAGGCAGAAAACTCGTTGAATGAGAAAGTTGGAGAAGTTTGTAGAAAGATCAAAGTTTGGCAAAAAAAAATAAATAAATGAGATCTTACCTCTCTGAGTACTTTCCTTTTGATGTCCTACTTTCATCTCCTTCTTCGGCTCTAAGATAATGTTCGTTCACGCTTAACTTTTCCCCCAGCCCCACCCGAAGTTAACATCACCCGAGATATCCTTCCTGCCACCTCTGTCCTCGCTCACTTCCAGGTCGATGCGTTAAATCTTTGGACGCCATGTTCTGCCCTGACTGAGTCGCCGTTTCCCCATGCTGAAAAAATTTTTGGGGGGGCAACAGCAGCATTCATTTCTTTTCATTTTAAATTGACATATTATGCTGTTTTCATCTGGACGCTGAATGAAATAAAAATATCACTGCATGTAATCGCTGAATGAATAAATGAGCTCAGCTGGCGGGTGAAGAGGCGGATGACTAACCCTCGCTCTCTGCTTCTCAAAGGAAGGACATATGTGCAGCCGTCAACATGCCATGTGAGACTCTGGGACTGTCTCATGTGGCGGGAATGTGTCAGCCTCATCGCAGCTGCAGCATCAGTGAAGACACGGGCCTCCCCATGGCCTTCACTGTGGCACACGAGCTGGGACACAAGTAAGGTTTTTGTTGTGCACTATCATTCTCGCAATAAACAATTTTCTTTGTGAAATAACTCAGCCTACATTTAAGTGGCTGTTTGTCTAAATGATTTGGTCAATTAACTTGCTTTCATCTGCATTTTTGTTTTTTTCTGCGGCTTTTACTTTTCTTGTTCCGCCACAAATTCAGCGATTCAGAAAATGAAGCCTGGCTTTATTTGCAGAGTGCGGTCGCTCGGGGGGTTGTAATTTTGCTTTGTCCACATCCCTGATGATGATAATAATGGGATTTTTTTTTTTTTTTCCATTTCCACATGAACTTGCAGTGACACCAGATTTTCTCTTAATGTTTTCTTAAATTAAGCCATCAACATTGAGGGCTTGTTTATTTCATTTCTATGTATTCCACTTTATTTTGCTGAGTGTTTTCCTTGTTGCTTCATTAGATTTTATGACATTAATTCAGATTGGGTTTGTTTTTTTGTTGTTGTCCTAAAGCAGAAACTACCCAGTGACAACAGCAATGCACTAAAGATTACAACATTGTTTACATGAATACTTTTCATTAATGCATCATTAATTTAATTATACAGTGGCTATGCACAAACTGGTAATAAAGTATGAACCAATTATCTGCTCAACTACATTTTGATTTAAATTAGTTATATGAAACCTTGATTAAATAAAACGTTGGCTGTACTTTATGAGCCTGACTCTTTGCATTGTCTTCATAATAAAATGACCTTCAGTCTCTCTCCCTCCCACTTGATTGTTGTGCAAAAGTCCTGGTGCGGTTGGATCGCCACAATAAACTTTACTCAAAGTCACCTTCAGCACTTTCCCTTTGATTATGTTAAGAAGGAGCCTTTTTTTCCCCGCTCCAGCCTCACGGTTAGTTCTGTGTATCTTGGGGATGTTTGTCAAATGTGATACCAAGTCTTGGATTGACAGAAGTCAGTTGTGAATGCTGGGCCTTTCTAAAAAGGGAAAATGTATTCATCAATTCTCCAGTGGGCTCACAGTCAAAGACTGTTATTCAGAGGTTGAAAGTGTGACGGTACAAGAAGCTTTCTTGCAAAGAAAAAGGTAAAAACACTGAGCTACGATCGGTTCGGCTTAGATTCTCATTTCCCCTTTGGGCCGTCTGTGGTTCCTGAGAACATTATGACACCTGCTGCCTGTTGTGTACAAAAAAACTTTTGTTTTACTATCTGATGGGTTCATTTCATAACCCATCAGATAGTAAAACAAGGTTAATGGGGTAGCTGCCAACTGTGTTTATATGGAAAATGTTTATTACCTTACCTCAAGCTAAAAATATCAAGAAAAAACAAATCTTGATTCTGACAGAATATAAATGCTTTATTAAAATATCCTTTGTAAATCCCTAATGAAGATCCCTATATATATATGTTAATCTTTCATTTCATATCCAGAAATGAAATAAAATATGTATGTAGTATCAGATGATCCAGTCTATTGAGATGCAAGTCAATTCAGAAATTTGAGCGTAAGCCAATATGTGATTCTGTGAGTTGAAGTGTGTTTTAATATGACAAGACAAACCAAGCGAATTATATTGTGGATCTCGGTGTCTGTAATTAATTAACTTAATTAATCCATTTTTTTTCACAAACAAGATTTCTCAAAATCGCAGACCTTTTGCAGAACCCTGTTTTCAACTGTGTGGAATAAATTAGTCATATTACAACATCAAAAACCTGGCAGTGTGTGGATGTGCCCAACACTCTCAGCAGTGAGCAGCAGAATGCGTTTTTGCTGCTCACTGCTGTTCATATTACATCCGCCCTAAACACACTCCATCTTCCTAATTGCTGCTCTGTTCTGGTCTCTGAAAAATGTCCTGTCAACTACATTGAATAACCGCCAAAGTTTTTGTTTATTGACATCCATTTTCCTGAATCTACACATATTTACCGTTAACATTAACAAAGGTGAAGAGTGTTTTCATTAGTTGTGATGGTGCTTCAAAAGACGATGTAATTGCGCTACGCTGTCAACCTGTTAACATCTGTTTGCCTCTTGGCTCCTCTTCTCCTTTCTTCTTCTGCTTGTCGTATTATGTTTTACAGCTGAAATCCCAGTGAGGCCAGTCATGTTCATGTATATTTTACATTTATTTCATTATAATTAGACAATCTGATGGGGTATTAGAAAAACAGACATTTATTTACACTGTAAAGAAAGTCGGATTAAAAAATGTAGGTGACATGTCAGCTGTATTTGTGTGCAAAATGAGTCGTTTCATTAGGGTGCGCTGTTTTCATCAGAGTAGAAAGAAGTGAGAGCTTGCAAAAGCTGTTCTGCCCATTCGCTTCAAAATGAATAACTTTCGCATTTTACCTGTTACATCACCGTCATCTCATTTAACCAGTCGCTGTTTTGAAAACGTGAGCTAATTAAATTGCTGAGGGGCCAAATGAAAATGGTACAGAGTCTGCAAGTCAGTGTTGCTTCCAGACATTTAGGGGAAGGTGAATTTCCTTTCAAGTCGTGGCATAAATATGGATATTTATTGTCTACTATTTACTTTGTTGTTTTCTATCTTTGCAAAATATTGAGCAGGGGGTATTATGTAACGTGTTCATGTTATAAATAATGTTATCCCTTCATCAAAGACTTGTCTAGTGTTGCTTTGGTTCTTCTATGAATGTTTAAGAAATCCTTGAACCCATAGGAGCCATTCAGACGTACCAAGCACCGCCTATTTATCCAAAATTTACTTTCTGCCTAACACAGCACCTTCCCCTATACCTCGTCTGCACAGCTCCTGTATATTAGCAACAACAGCGATTAGCAAACACCTCGTGGTGTGAAATTGAAATTTTAAGTTATGTTTGATATATAGAGAATTCTTAAAATGACTGAAGGTAACATTGTGTGTGTGTGTGCGTGCGTGCGTGTGTGTGTAGGAACCTTTCTGGAATGTGGCAATAAACCCTAAAAGGAAATGTCTGAGCATTCTTAAAGTTACACTGCATTTAGGGGTCAGTCTTTCAAAAACCTTTTCTACCAGTGAACCTGTGCAGCGCTCGATCTTTCAAAGCTTCTGGCTTTCTCGGTGGATTAGAAACTGCCTCAAACTCTTAGTATTGATTTCAGAATAAAGAGCTGGGCAGGGAAAATGCAGAAATTGAAGTTTGAATTAAGTGAAGTATCTAACAGTAATCAATGTGTTGTGATGATGTCCTTCTCAGCCTTTCTAATTAGATTCCAACAATCATTAAACACTTTCCTATTCACCTCACAGACGCTTCCTTGCATCTCGGCTCCTTCGTGCAACAGTTAATTCACTCGGCCCAAGTTTTAAACTGTGACAGGTGTTAGTTCAATAGTATGCTGCATTTAAATACTAATAAAACAATTTTGCTCCCTGAATTGGAAGCTTTGTGTAGTATGCATGCAGCCGAGCAACCAGGGAAATTCACCTGGTTTCTCCTCTGCAGTAATTCACTACAAAGTCTGAATATCAAAGCAAGCTGTGCGCCAGGTGATAAAGCGCCTAAATGAAAATAAATTAATCTTGTGAGACTGGTAAGAATTGCTAAAGATTATGAAACATATGCACTAGGGTGAGAGGAGTTGGCTTTTCCGCATATATTTAGAATTTCCTTTCAAGGAGCATCTTTAGAAAACCCGTAGATACGCCGGGCTGAACTTCATTCTGAAGGGAGTATTCATGTTGCTGCGCTTTTATCCTCAAGAAGAGCACAGCGCCGCCGTACCTGTAATGTGACGGCAACCTTTATTTTCTGGAGAGTCTTTCGATAGAAGCGAGCTGCAACTAACAAAGTGAAGAACAAATAGGCCCGTGTTTATCACCGGGTTGCACAGATTTTATTTGTTGCAGCGGCTTTCTGAGTCAATACTGCTGCTCCCACAGTGAATGAGTTGAACATTAAACATTAACTTCAAAGCTGCAGAATCCAAACAGTTTGCAGACAGACAGACCCACGTGTCTCCTTTGTTGCTAAAAGTAGCTTTATGTTGATGTATGTACTGCATGCCATGCCCACTCACATTAATTTCCCCTTTTGTGGGATTTGCTTTTATGTCGCAGCTTTGGGATTCAGCATGATGGCAACGGTAATGACTGTGAACCCATTGGGAAACGACCTTTCGTCATGTCTCCACAGCTCCTGTACGGCACCTTCCTGCCCCGGTGGTCCCGCTGCAGCCGTCAGTATATCACCCGCTTCCTAGAGTGAGTGCTGCTTTAAATGTCTGACCACACAGCTGTCTCAATATGCAAGGTTTTGTGATTCAAAATGTTTTTCTCTTTCACCCATGTTAAATCACACCGGGCTGTTTTACAACCCTTTTCCACTAGAGCCTATATGACTGACAGTCTTCTGACATCGAGTCTGCGTGCTCGCCACCCCGGTGAAGCAGGTAGTGAAAGTAGGGGCTGGTACCAGTGAATAACTGTTGTAATCAGTATTGTGCAAAATAAAACAAAAAAGACATGAAAACTAATATAGCATTTCAAACATTATCTCAGCTTTGATGGGACAGATAAGTTGCTTTTACCTCCTTTCTTCACCTTGTCATATAAATTTATCTCACTCTCTCCCTAACATTAAGTCACACAAATCCTCTTCATATCCATCATTACTTCATCCTTTAACCTTCTGTGTAGTCCTGCACTTTCCTTCTTCAAGCACGTCTTGAATGCACACCGTGGGGAACCATGCATCACTTCTCAACTTGTCTGTTTAGGGTAACGCCTTAGAAAAGTTCTTGATATCTACTCTGCCTCTGGTATTTTTCTCACACTCGCCATCTCCAACATCTCACATCTAACTTTTCAAAGTCTGTGCAGAAGATTTTGACAAGCTGGCAGAAAATATTCAGCTCAAATGATCTTGGCCGAAGTATTTTTGATATCTTTGCGCACGTCATGTTTGGAGAAAGGAAGTTTCTTCACGCCCACTAAAATAACCATGCCTAAATTTAAATTTATGTGAGTTATGATGCAGCATATGGGCATTCATAAAACAAAATGAGAAATTCAAAGTAGACGGATGTGTTTCTGGGCAGTAGTCCCACACATGCAGCCAAAGAAACTTTTAATTAGTCTTAAAGAAATAAACTAAAACCGCTAGTGTAGCTCACTTAACCATATGAGTGGCATCCAGCTGGAAATCTATGGAAAGAAGTAAAGATCGGGTTGCATGGAATGGATCCCCAGAACCTTTGGGATTTAAAAAAACAGCTCATGTGGACCGATGGGTAGAAATCTAATTTGAGCAACATTGTGGAGAGTGCACACAAATCTTATTACAGGTACCATTATCCCCCAAATCATGCTTTATACTAAACTATTTCATAGGTTTCTAAAGTCTGCTCAATATTTCCGCTTAATTTTGTATTTGTAACTGAAGTTGTGGAATAAATTGCTTGATATCTTTGTGGATTGCTTTCTTGCTGCAGACATCTGCCTTCTAATGTACCTAATTTGAAGTGGGGCATGATGTGAAATCGACTTTTTGAGCTTTATATCGTGTTCTAATCTTATTCCCTCATTAAAAAAACGTCGCTGTGAGTCTTTCACACGTCTTTGAGAAATATTTGAACTTAATTAATTTTTTTAAGAGGTATCTTAAAAAAGCCTTCAGCTTTAGGACACCACACAAATATTGACACACTACTTTTTTCTATAAGTTGCAGCAGAGCTTATTTCAATTAAAACAATTATTCAAATATTTTGCATTGAACCCTTTTAACTCCACCACTGCTGATAACCTATAAACGACATGGTTCCTATGGCATCTTTAAGTTTCTGTGACTGAGTGTGTGGGCTCTGTCTGTGGGAGTCGGTGCGAATTAACAAACACACCAAAAAGTCATCAATAGATCATCCAAAAGGAAAGAGAAGAAATGTGGCAACTTTCTGTTTCTGATGTTCAGGATTTCTCTTCCTGGCAAATAGGGAGTGTAGCAGCTTGTTTCCCTGCAGGTTACCTCCATCTCTTTCCCCATAGGTTCACCAATAACTGGAGTTTTTCAGCTGCTAAGGGAATGTAACGGGCTATTGCTTCGGGCGAAAACTAAATCAAAAGATGGCTGCACTTCTCCAAGTAAATTTTGGAGTGCAATGACTTTTTAGGGATCCCAAACTTTAGACATCTTGCTTTTACAGAAATACTTCTGAAATATAAATATAAGAAAACTAACAATATTGACACCAATTGCAACAGCTCACAGTAAATACTCATCTAGAGCCAGTGCAGCTTATAAACTACACAGTAAGGGAGGACTAAATGAGTTCGTTTTTCTGTGCATACACACACACGCACACACACACACGCCCACACACACACGCACCCACACAAGCTGGATGCACTTGATGTTTTTGAATTGTATCAGCACGGTTTGAAATGAGTCGTGAAAACCAGCGTGATCCATGCTTGCTGTGTTCCAAACATTCATTGGAACCAATGAACTTTTCATAATTCTTAGATGTAAAAACAATCTCTGTGTGGTGACACAAAATACAACAAAGACACGAGGTCCCCCCCCCCAAATACACAAATATTTGTCAGAATCTAAGAACATCTAATAACAAAACTACTGAAATTATCGTGCATTTTTGTAAAAACTGAACTATTGCCACCTGAATTAGATGAACCTGTGAAATGGTGCCTATGTTTTACACCTTAGCTGACATGTTCATCCATTCATGTTGTGAAATAAAAAGTCTGCTTTTACACAGAGTTACGGATGATACTTCCAAGTTTGCTCTCTGAACACTCATCCTCTTGTTTACTACAAAACATTGACAACTGCCTTCGAATCCTTTGGTAAAAATAGCACTTTGATACTTCCTCATGACTCAACAAGTACGTCCCCCTGTAGACGACAGAAAGTGCAAAACCTTATTTATGCACATCCTGTCCTCATAAACCATTGTTGCTGCTAAATGTTCCCACTGTGGCTCTGATATCTTAAAGCCTTTTACTTGTGAGCGTTGTAGCATAAAATGATGTATAATTGAGGTCTACAGCTTTCAAAACAGAGCAGCATGGATGTCACTCAGCAGGGGTTCAGGGACTCCTGCTGGTACATTGCTTGAAATTAATTCGGGTGAAATCTCTGCAGGCTTCATTTCCTCTGTAGCTCATTTGATAAAGGGAATAAGGAGGCTTTTCTTTCACTCAGGCGTTTTTTTTTTTGTTTTTTGTTTTTTTGCTTGGATTCAATTAGGTATTTGTTTGAGTCTTCAGATAATTTACTATACAATAAAAAATTGTAGGTTTGTATAGTTATTTTTATCTTCTCTAACTGAAGTAAACTTCTCAACGTTAATGCAAGATTTTTGACGCATAGACAAAATAATTATATTTTATAGTCTTTTACAACTGTGGTTCACAAAACATCAAGAGAATCTTCAAAACTTTGTGCATATTTGATTTCTGCCGTCAACCTCTTTGAGGTCAAATCTGCCGTAAATTATGCGTACGATGAACCTGAAGCGATAAGCTGCAGAGAGGTTAAACAAAATGTTCTTGTTGTGCAAATCACTTTAGGTTGTTAAACCAAAGTTAAGATGTCAGTTTTCTGTGAAAACTGAAATCACTGTTGTTTGGAGTCAGTTTTCTCTGACCCTTTTTCAAAAAGGGTCTCAGTTTAAATGGTGGTGCAGCGACGTCTAAACCTGGAGAAATTCCCCAATGAGCGTCCAAAAATACAGCCGGGTTCCAGGCAAAGGACATCGTCTGATAGATGTGGAAACCTTTGCACAAGTTGAATCAGACAAATGCACAAATTCACGTTGTCATGCTCACTCTATCTAAGAGTGAGCATGTTATTCTACTCAGTTATTCTAAATAATCAAGAGGCTTCAAAAAGTTACCAGTTTAAACCAGATTAATGCCCCTTTGGACTGTTCTGCATTTAGCTCGTAAAAGCTCTAAAGATAGTCTGTGAGTCACATAAAAGGAGGTCAAAGTTTTGTCATACTTTCTAACTTCTGTTGTTTTTCATTAAAAAAGGGAAGAAAATCATCCTGGGTTTGCAAACTGCTGGTGATTAACTGAATGTTATCAGTTCTTCAGGCTTTGTTGGTCAAAAACTGATTGTAGAGTCAGTCTGTTTAAATAGCGCAATCTGTTTAATGCTGCATTTGTTCTTCGCCTCATAGGAGCGACTAAAGCCGAGCATCCAGAGTATGTTTCCGCTTGCTTATCTATTTTTACAGGGAACAGTTTGTATCTCTGTCAGCTATACAGTCAGCTGCTGACATCAAAGTTCTGATTCTGGCTTCCATCGCACAAGTGTCGACTGTCTGAAATGATTCGGGATCGTTGCCCCAGTTTCTCAGCTCTAAGCATCTGGAATTCATTCAGAGGCTGCACAGCTATTTGACAGCATGGTAGCTCTTCACTCCATGGTAAGAGGTGGAGAACAGAGTCGCAGGGTAATATTTACACATGTGGGAGTCACAAAAGCTCCTTGTCTGAGGATTTTGTTGAGCTATTTGGAATAATGTTTTATTTGGAACAGACAGAAATACTTGGGAAACACAGCTTAAGAAATCTGTTCATTACGCTCAACATTGTATTTGTGAAATATTTGGTAGTGAGAATAAGTTTTTTCTTGTGTATTTTAATGCTGAACCTACATGTGAAACTTGCTTTAATTGAATATCTGTGTAAAGAAAAGGCCTTTTACACATTTCTTTGACATTTGACGTACAGTGATATGAAAAAAATTACATTAGAGAAAAATTTTCTGACAAGAATACATGAATAGAACAATCTCATAATCTGTCCGAAATTTCTCTGAAGGATTAGCTCTCTCTCTAACGCTTGTACGTGGAAAATGAAGAATTCTGTTTTTGTGGGATTAATTAAATATTTTTGAGTAAAACGATCAATTTCGACATGAACCATAACCTAGAATCAAATACATTGTAAACTATTTGACTGCAACTGCTTAGCTAAAAATTGATGACAAATGAAAGTAGAGCTAAACAACTACTGGACAAAACAGAAAAAATAATTCTGGGCTGAAATAGTTCAAGCTGATTATGAACCTAAAATATACAAAAAGTCTTTCAGTCTTAAAGTATAATTTTGGTGTTTTAAACTCATTTAAAAATAGGTCAGATTGCAGTAGACTCACAGAAAATCGACAGGACAATTTACTTTAATTCGGCACATTTGGTTTGATCTCCTTGGTCTTTGCAGTTAGGATGGGTTCTCCAGATGCTTGTTTCCACACCTGCCAGCAAAGGTCAGATTCCATCTCTTGGCTGCTTGGCTGGCTAAGACGTTGCCTTCAGGAAATATAACGCCTTCAGGTTTTTCTTTTTCCTCTGCATTCTTGACATCCTGGAGGTTTTTGCTCTTTGGGGGCAGATATAGCTTTTCAATGCATTGAAAACTTTTAAAAATAGTTATCAGAAGCTTAAACAAGAGAATGAATGTGTGTCTAACAAAAAAAAAAAACAACAAAAAACAGACCCGTACAAAAATATTTGTCACAGCCATAGTCTGCAGGAGTTGATCGAAACAGTGTGACTGGGTTGGCTCTTTGTAAACTCCGAACATCTTTTTCAGAGTTTGGTTGTGCTTTTTGAATATACCATCTTCCAGAGCAGGAATGGTTGCAGGATGCTGATCAATAAACAATGGCTTTTGACAGCAAACAGGGGGTCTGTAACTTATATTTTCACATCTTTCCACTCTGCAGTGCATTCGCCTTCCTTTTCTCTGCTCGGTCTGTGCCACTCGGTGCAGGACAGGCCCCACAACTCATGCTAACAAGGAGGTTTGATCTGGAGGTGTCGTTTCATCAGGAGCGTAGGAGGCCATGCTGAGCGGAGGGCTGATATTATCGCATGGAATGGCTGAGCGTGAACAGAACAGAGCCGTCCTTTAATTTGCAAAATTCCAGCGTCTGACTGGCCATAAAGGACAACTTCTTCCTCTCACTGCCCCAGGACCTGGAAAATTCACGCACACTATGCAAATTAAAACATATTTTATAATGTGATGCATTGATTATGAATGTAATTTGAGGGATATAGATGGAGAACAGTGGTACACATTATTATTGACGAGACATCTAAGAGTAATTGGGTGATTGTTTTTTATGAATGCTACAGCCCAGCCTCATGAGTTGCTACTTCGTTAAAATTATTTTATTTCATTAAAAAAAAAATTCACAGGAGAATGTTCAGTTTGGACAAAGGTGAAAGTTCTTGCATGTTCAGATATGTTTTTTCTCTTAAAAGATAAAATCATAATTTGAAATCTAATCTTTCTACCTCCTTACTAAGACAGTTTGTCTGACTGAAACATCTTGAGTCTAATTCATACATCCTAGTGCCTTATTGTCCACAGAGCCTGTGACACGCAGCACCATTTTTCGTCTGCCTTGTCTGTCTGCTTTGGCGGAAACATTAATAACCTGAGTTGGAGGACTCAGGTTATTGCATCAGACATGCAGCAGATGAAGAAAACAAATGTTAGATTGTGAGGAGTAAAAGAAAAACATTGTGGGGAGAGATCTGCTGTTTTTCCAGGAATGTCTGGAATATTCTTGTGAGAATTGTAGCATTAAGCAACAAAAAAAGACCTTAAATGTCCTGTTTAAAAACCACTTTCAGGCATTAAATTCAGACTCTGCTACTGATTTGTCCAAAATACAATGGGTTTTTTTTGTTTTTTTAATCTAACAAATGTCAAAAGTTATTCTCTTTAAGGTTTTAGACCTGGAAGGGACACAGTCATTTTATCCAGCATATGTCCCCAGATTGTGAGCCAATTTTATCTTTTCCACTTGCTAACAGTGAATGGCTGAAAAATAATAACCCACAGTGAATTGCAGACTTTTTGTTGTTGAGGAACGAATATCAGCAGCAGCGACTCGACCAGCTCCGTCTCCTGTAACGACTGTCATCAGGTCAGCCACAATACCTCGGACCCATGAAGAAAATGTTCAATAACTGCAAGTCAAAACATAGCCTACAGGTTTTGGTGAGAGTTTGCATTGCTATTCAGGTTTTATCTGAAAATGGGGAGAATCAAGTTCTCAATGGCTCATTTCTTCCCTCACACTAAAACGAGATTACAGAAAACACAACTCAAGTCAGTACAATTTCATAGTTATGATGCAGAAACTCATTCTTTTAATATCTGCATCAGTTTTATATATATTATATATATATTATATATATATTATATTATATATATATATATATATATATATATATATATATAATATATATAAAATATATACCCCCATATATACTTTATGGGGGTAACTGCCCCGAGGGCCCCGATGACCACAGGCACCACTGTGGTCTTCACCTTCCAGGCCCTCTCCAGTTCCTCCCTGAGGCCCTGGTTTTTCTCCTATTCCTCTCCACCCAACCAGCTAAGGTGTACTCTCAATGACAGGGTAATAACAACAGAGCAGACCCACAAAGGCTGGAGACTGAACAATACTGGAAAGGCATATGGGAAAGGGAGGCGTCCCACAACAGCAATGCACAGTGGCATTTATATATATAAATCCATTTCCACATACTTCTGCACAAGACATAATATAGATAAGAGCAATTGTATTTCTAGATTACAAACTAATGGATGTCGAAAGCCTCCGAAACTAAACAGGGTGTTTGTTTGTTTGGGCACATATTTACCCCATTTATCTGATCCTCCTATGCAATTAATTTGAAAGAGTTCTTTGTGATGAATTGTTCAGGCTGCCATCCATGTACTTGAAAACACTCCAACTTTGTTTGTTTGTATATAGATTATTAGGTTATGGAGGTAATGAAAGCAGATTAAGATAAACGGCACCTATTTGATTGCGGATGCAGATAGTCAGGAGAGTCACACAGTTTTCTCTGGAAGCTGACGGAGCACAAAGACTTTGCTAACTTTTGGTGGAATCAGAATAGATCCTTCATGTCAGAGCGCTGTCCAGACAACCATGAGTCCTGTCACACACATGCCAATATTTAAACAATCCAGTTAAAGACCATTTTGTCAGGTATTGAATCTTGACAAGACATTCAATTTAGTTTCTTGTCAACTTGCTCTTAACTCGTCAGTGAAAGAATTTTTTTGCCGTTTTGACGTGCCGTATGTTTTCTGCTTTCTTTCTCATGGCTGTATTTAGACTTCTTTTGAATACTGCGTCCCTCAACGAGGGCATTAATTTGCAATTGATTCAGACTTTGTAGCAAAAGATGTGATCCGTATTATTTACATTAATATTTAGCTGTGAGCTTGTTTTGCTCGCTGTTCCTGGCGCTTTGCTGTGATTTTTGCTTCAATGCCTCCATCTGCCAGTGGCAGTAATGTAAACCCAGCAGCACCAAGCTGCACTTTGTGTTTGAATTTACAATGGATTTGTGTGTCTCCACTGGTAAAACAAACGTGAATTCACTCATATAAACACTTTTTATAACGCTGTCACTTTACAGAGCCGCACCAAATAAAACAGTTTAATAAAAAAAATAAAATAAAGTTTGAGGTTTTCTGTTCCATTTTTGCATCTTCCACTTATTGTTTCGAAAAGGACATTTGTTTTGTGTCGTATGTAATTGCCTGCGGGTGAAGAAATAGTTTTCATAATTTTTTTGCTGTTTATTCAAGGAGAACCTTTTGAAGCATTCCTGAATAATTCATAGAAAACTCTTAAACGACTGCTGCTTTAATTTATAAAGCATTTCCGTAGGTTTTCAGGCTGGAAGCTGCTCTGCAGAGAGTGGAAGCCGAAAGAGTTTCGGAGTTAAGCAAATTCCTCGAAAAGGAGACATTTCGAAACTTTCCGAATTAATAATAATAATAATAAAAAAATGAACTCTTTCTTTTCATTTTGCCCTCACAGTCGTGGCTGGGGTTGGTGTCTTGATGATGCCCCGGTGAAGGACAGGCTGTCTCTGACCTCGATGCTTCCTGGAGTGCTGTACAGCGCGGTCCATCAGTGTCGCCTGCAGTACGGCTCCGGCTCTCGCCTCTGCGATGACATGGATGTAAGACGAAACTGTGTGTGAACTACAGTGCAGACAAATGTTGATAAATTTGTAAATTGCAATTCTTTTCTGTTTAATATAGATCCACGACTAGTAGCAATATATTTCAAGCAACCATTTCTTTCATTTTTGATTATGACTCACACCAAATCAAAACCCCAAACTGCTTGTGTTGTCACCGTTTGTAATTGTTTTTTTTTTCCTTAGTCAAAACATTTACTTATCTAGGTTATACAACAACATGCATAAAGACTGAACAAAAAATATACATGCATTTTTTAAATACAATTTAAATTACTGAACCAAAATGTTATCAATGCAGATTATTTATGTATCCTACTACAGAAGCCAGCTGTTGTTTAAAACAGCTGGCCGACATTTTCCCCTCAATTGATTGAGAGGAAAAAGTGTAGAGTTTTGTGTTTGCAAAAAGTACCAAGAACCTGGTGAGTAACCATATATTCCCTTGGACATTGTGAATAGGACCAACATCAGGACCGACATCACAGATGACCCGATCGCCAGAGTCGAAATATTCTGAACTTTCTCAGCACAGCCACAGGCTAATCGCCTCCATGCTGCAATGATGCAGTAAATTATTCAAAAAGGAGTCACGACTGGGTGTTGGGTATTAGCTGCAAGCCATAATTATCAAAATAAAGAGGAAAAAAAAAACTTTTGAAACGTAACAGTTTGTATGTAAAATATTTATGGATTTCCTTTTTTAAACGAGTCACTAAAACAACTATACTTTTTATTAGTATTCTGTTTAATTGAGATGTAATATAGAAGTCTCTGTGTTACCCTATGCACTTTAATGAAACAGATGTTTTTTCCCAACTTTTATGATGTTGCAGACTATTTTATGTCTCTGATCAAACATTTTGATCGCATGCACCAACAGACACTTTTAGGTAAAAATTTCAAATAACCAATGTATTGACAGTTTTTTACTCTTATTAGTATTGGAACTGGTTGAAATGATACCGACCCTGTGTTCGTTAGAAGAAGAGATGTATTCAGGGAAATCTAACTTTGTACATTCAGACAAGGATACAGAAGCAAAGGCCAGCAGAGAAATGATCAAACAAACTCCCTTCCTCACTTTCTAGCTCTTTTTAAGCCGATTGCTCTGAGCAAACCGCAGCAACTTTGTGTGAAATATACTTCTCCATCAGCAGAAAAAAAAACTAAAGTCGAGAGAAAAAGGAGACACAATCTGACTTCGCAGTTACTAATGTAAAGGAACCTCCCAATTAAGTTTTTCAAAAGTATTTCAGTTTCATACATCGGCAAGAAATCAACTACTTCCAGTCTTCATTGCAAACTGCAGCTTACCGAATGTTAGCCCCAAGGTGCATTGGGCCATGAATGTGTGTAACAAGGCGTCTTTTTCTCGTGTGTTTATAATTTAATACTCTTTGGCACTGAAGGCACATTTTCTGTCGTGGATGAATAACGTTTGAATTGTTGTGCCGCTTCCTCACAGCTCTACATTTGACATGTTTTCAGTCATGGCACTGGTGAGACATGATTTGTATTTTTATTTTTTTTCTGATCGGAGCATCAGCATTAATAATTCCTGTTATTCTACTTTAGGAAAATGAAAAGTGGGAGCTCTTGATCCTCTCTTTTCGTCCATCAAAGTTAATGCGTGGCTTTTCGTCTTCACTACATTTCATAAAATCATTTGTCCAGATAAGAGCTTCAAAGCTTCCTGTGACCTTTCAAATATTAGCGCTCCGATAAAGGCAAGCTGCCCAAACAACAACAGAATGAAAAACTTTTTAAAGTTATACAAGTTGTACTGACCAAGAAACACTATAACATTCTTATAGGCTGGACATGCATTCAGTCTGTCCAGACACCAGGTGTGGTGTTGTATTAGAAGTGGTAGGAGTTTCAGTATGTGCATTTCTACAGAGACTGGTGAATAATTACCATTTCAAAGGTGTCAGGCTTATCCAGAATTTCAAGCTTTGACTTTTTTGAGAGCATAACCCCGCCTTCCTCTGAGCAACTTAGGCTCTGAGTTACGGATAATGATGGAAACTAAATTAGTCAAATTGAAGAGAAACATTTAATTAAAGATTAAACCCGACAGTATATAGAAAATATCTGTTTTTTAATTTCATTAGAGGATTGCATTAAAGCTTATTTCTCAGAGTTGGTTTTCTAGTTCATGCCATAGTGGCATCACATTTTCAAACGGCATTACAGCAAGAATTGAACTTTTTCTGTTTTATGTTTTGTCCAAAAACAATAAAGTGGTTCTTATGAATTTTTACTTTGTTAGAAGGAGAAAAAAAAGATACTTTGGCATGCAACTTTATATGCAAAGATTCAAGTAAGTGGAGAAGAACAGGAATCGCCTCTGAATTTAGATGGAAGGAAGATTGAGATTTCTCAATCCCTCTGATTTACCCACAAACTCAAGATTACAGCCTTTTGAACAGAGAATGTTCTGCTATGACAAATAAATGCACAACTTGTGCTGGTCTTTCAGCTCTCCATTTAAATACAATAAAGAGACAAATGTTTATTTTTTCTTACTGCTAACTTTGTCTCATTCTCCAGGCTTTCTGACCTGCAATCACAACCTGGTTTGGTTTGATTATCTGAGGGCTAAAGAACACAAGATGCTTCACCATCATTACACAAAACGCACGCACCACATTGTGATGTCTCCTCTTACAACAAACAGTTGTATTTGTCTGTGGCCCTATTTCAGTACATTTATATAAATATGCATAAAAATGTGCAGCCTCTCCTCTCTTCCTGCTCTGCCCTCCTGCATCCAGGTAACTCCCCGCCTTTATCGACCCACATCAACATATCAGCATATCACACATTTAACACTGTTACAGCCATTCAAATAGCCATATGATTCTAAACTTTCAGATCGGAAGTGATTTATGTCATTTAGAATATCTTACAATACTATGGCAAAAAGTATATTATGCTATCAATTGCAGACAACTCCCTGAAGTCCTTTTCTTAAAGAAATAAAACAGCTGTTGTCAGAGCTGTTTCTCTTCAGGCCTACTCTAATAAACAAAGAAATAAAAACTGGACTATAATTGAGGTGGCTGCGACTGTCCTTTGTTCATTTTCACCTATTTCTACGCCGTAGTAACTTTGACACAAACGAATGCTTATACAAGTCCCTCACTCTGACTTACACAGTCAAACATGAATATGTTTCTCATGAAAATGTGGGGCAATATCTCCAGTATATGTCTGCGTTTCTGTCTGTTTATGCCTTCATAGCACAGCCTCTGCTGCTTGATTGACTCAGCTGGGAGGACAGACTCACCACTATCTGTCAACAGGCCCAATCGTCGAGTAATTGGCAATTGACCAATTTACTCGTTTTTTATTTATGGATGATTAAATCTAGCTAAGGGACTTTTTCTTAATAGCAAAAGAGTCCAACATTATGGAGTCACTATTTCCTCAATAAAAACACCCTGCATTAGACAACAAGTATGTCACCATCAGTATGAGGTCAGTCTCTTCTGAAAGGAGTGTGGTGGGACCGGATTTAATATTTATAATGCAAAATAATATGGCGACTGGTGAGACCCACTCTGTCAGGAACCCTTACGAATCAAGGTCTGTTACAAGAGGAATCACAGAAACTACAAACCTGACTGGGTGAATGGGTCACCAGAAAACCCATGACTCTGTGATGGGGAAAAAAGCTTAATGCTCAGACCTGCCATCAGTTACCGGTGTATTAGACGGTCCAAATAACAAGAGAGAAGCCATAGGTTGCTGAAAACGAAAGATCCAGGTCAGAACCGAAGGATGTCAGTCTAGTTCTTGTTCTGCCTTAGAGAATAGGGAGCATCAGAGACAAACATCCTGGATAAAACTGTCTCTAGACGCGCTCAGTGAAATAATTTAATTCGATTCAAATATTCAACTAAAAAACACGCTTTTCTAGTCCCAAGAGGAATCGTAGATAGTCCTTGCTGTGTGTGGGCAATATCGCCTGTCGCAGTGAACAGCAGACGTGAAGGAGCCTCTGACAGAATATACTCTGACACCGTTGGGCAGATAAAGAGGATTCTCTGGGTTGCCTATTATCTCGCTTCCACTGAGCAGTCTGGAATGGCTCGGTGAAGTTTGGCACACCATTTCATTGGTTTCTGTTGTAAATGTAACCCATAGAACCAGCCCGTAAAGCACCACTGCTCTCTTCAGCTGTAGGTCCAGTGTATCGGAGTAACACAACAATCTATTAATTGGGGGACAGAAAAACAAAACATACCGATGCGTCACGTTTGTTAGGCATTTGAGTTTAACCTTGCTTGGCCAGTGAGAGCCCAACTGTCAGTGGATCCACTTCTTTCAATACGCTGGACCGTAAAATTGCTTACTCAACCCTAACGACTTGTTCTGTACTGCTCAGAGGATACAAGGCATTTTGCATATTTTTTACATCCATTTTCCCCACTTGGATTGTTTGGCTCCAGATCAGTACCCAGCGTAGAAAAAACCTTTTTTATCAGCTTGTTAAATTTTTTCTCATCCATTGGCTCTGCTATTGCTACCATGACAGATGATGATTTATACATGCACTTGAATAATGAGATGACCTGGACTGTTTTCTTTATGTTTGGACCCGCAATGAATTTCAATAAGACAAAATTAAATATCGATCAAAACCACAACCACGAGATTCTCCATTTTTGCTGCAATAATTCAGAGTTGACCACAGCCACAATAGTGCAGAACTTGCTGTAAACTGGGGGAGAGCTGAACCACACTGTAAATGGTTATAGTAAAACTTGACAATGGAGAATTGGTTTAATTTAACTAGGGCACCACATTCAATGTGCATGAAGCACGATTGCCAGTATTTCTGTCAAACATTGTATAGTGGTTGAGAAACAGAGATACTGTAAGATTTAGTGGGACGTCCACATCCAGACTGAGACAGATGATGACAAAACATCCAAACAAGTAGGATGCAAAGGCTCTAAAAATCCAGGGCAAAAGCAATGCTTAAAAGAGGAACAAGTAGAAACCTGAGAAATATCAACAGGACGGCGGTCGTGGGACTTTGACAGAACAGATTACAGAAACATATCAATCTGACTGAGTGCAATTGTGGGAAAGGGAACAGAAAAACAACTTTGAGCTTCTAGCCCTGTTGTTTATTCCTCCAATATCATAGATGGAAATCTGTGATAAATCAATCACAACTAGGCAAGTAGAAGAATACAAATGACTATGCCATAAATGTTTGGATATTCCTGCTATCTGTCAGAAACAGTGACTCACTGTCTGTGACTTTAGACCAAAAAATATGGTTGAACTTTATATACTTTAGTTGTTGTCAGTGTTAACAGAAAACTCTGTGTTCTTTCAGGAGAACATATGAAACAAAAATAGGGACACATTAAGCTTAAGGAGTGATGCTTATTGGCAAGGCGGCATTTTGCATCTTGTGTATGCTTGCATTTTGAAGAGGGCGTGATGTAAAGAGGAGGATGTTATGGAGTGTCAGAAACATTTCTTGGTGCTTCCAGGAAATGAGAGAAACATGTGTGCCAGGAATGAGTTTAAACAATGACCGAATGTTCCAACCAAGTCTGCGTCTTTAAATCACAGCTTGGGGTTGACGAGGATGCAATGTTTTCTACAATAATCCCTCTCTCTACTTTCTGAAAAGTGAGGGTAATGTGAGTTTCTGAAGCTCTCTGACCATCTGACAGGAAGATCTAATGGGACCTACTTGCGCCTTAAAGTCACTGTGGATTTGAAAACAGCCTATGGCTTTGTTGCTACCCCTGTATCTGTAATTACTTCATCTGGGCCCGACATGGAGCCTCCAACTCCTATGAATCATATGACATGACCTGGATTTAAACTAAATTAAAACTCTTTCTGCAACTTAGCCTCAGATCTTTTGTTGTGTGTTGTGCAAACTTGGATTAGTCATTGCATAAGCGATTAGAGCAGTCATGGAAAATTAACTTTGACTGAATGCCGCTGACATTGAGTCAGTGCAAACGGTAATCTTCTGTAGGTGGACTCCTTTTGCTGTCTTAAAGCTATACTAAATGTTTTTTTGGAGATTTTTGTGCGAATACAGCTTCTTCCCAGTAAAATCTCAACACAGTGCCAGAGTTTCTTTAAACATAAAGCACACAGAGTATTTGGGGCTTGAACAACGGATGTTTTTAACACAGAACCAATTAAGACTAATCACATTCTTCCATGAGCTGCGTAGTAGAGCTGAGCTTTACTGCACTGTTTCAATAAAGCTAATATAGGGTTTGAACAGATTTACAATGGTCTTTAGCAGAGGCACTGAAACTTTTATGAACAAATCCCAGAGTTCCCAACAGAGTCAAGTGTTTTTATGGAGGGGTTGAACAGTTGCTGTGAATATTTTTGTTTTGCACAGAAATTGGCTTATGATCCTCAGATAAGTTTGAAAAATAGAGAAATTTTAAAATAGCTTAAATTTGCATCATTTGCATCTGATCAGTTTGTGTGCTGGGTTCTTTGAAAACATGAACACAATTATGGTTTGAAACAGAACAAATGTTGGATAGAAAATATTTTTATTTTTTAATTTTTGGGGGGGAACAAAATCTTTTTGTTCCCACCAAGTTGATTGGTGTTGCTACAAAGCCGAATCTCTGAAAAATTACAGTATTGCATCAAATATTGAGGCAGGATAAATATTAAGAACAAATCAAATGGAGCACACTTAAAATAAACATGAATAATAGCAAGCAAAGCTAAAATTTGATTGGTATTTATCAATATTATTGTTTTAAAAACTAAAATTTTTTATTATTTTTATTTTCTTTGTCATTTTGATGTTGTGTGAAGAACTTTAATTTGTGGTAAAATACGGTAATGTCCCAACTTTTTTCCAGTAAAATAACTGATCTAAACATAATATCTTGCTCAAAGATCAAGGACTGTATAAAATGTAAATCAATCACCTGTAAAGGTTGTTTTTGTGACCAAAGTTGGAGTTTCAATTCGCCGTTTACGTGCAGTTAATTAACTTCTGGCTGCCAACCGTTTATTTGTTGTCTCTTCTTATCTTCTTATCTCCTTTTAAAAGAAAACCTTATTTCTGAGATAGTGGCATGTTTACACTGTATTCTTTTTAAGAATCAACTTTTTAAAGGCCAACAGCATGGAAAAAGAAGTATATTAAGTCCAAGGTTCTTGGTTTGAAAGTTAGTTGTGACATAAACACATTTGTGCAAAGTAATTTATTAATGGACATGAACCTTAAATATCGACCAGTGTTAAGAATAACAAACTTTTAATTTTATTTCAAACATCTTTTATCTGTAGACGTTTTGGCAAATGATGCAAGGATTTCTTTTTTTTTTTTTGTCACCTGAATAAACTTTATCACAGGTGAACGTTTATCATCCGTCCTTGTATTTTATTTCAGGGACACAAGTTTTTATAAAACTAGTATTCTTGTCGACATCCAATATAACTGGTAGCATTGACGGCGGGGATAATTCTGCTGGACGCAGCTCTTACATATTGTTCATATATCAATTGTGCAATAGTTTGACAGCTGCAGTATTTTTAACTTACTGCATCAATGACTTGCGCTGCAGTCCGCCTGCTAAGTTGGAGGTAAACAGGAGCAAGACGTGTAGATTTATTTTCTGAACTCTGTCCATCATTTATTTGTCTTCTGCTCGTCAGAGGTCGGGTCATCTTTGGTAACAAATACAGGAAGGAAAACCAGAAATCCTTCTGCAGATAAATCTGTGGGGTCCCAAAGGCATTCCCAGGCCAGTGGGGAAGTTTATCCCTCCAGCTTCAGAGGAAGCAATCCACCTTTTTTTAGATTAAGAAGAATGTCATCAGACTTGCATCAGCAGTTACTTCAGACTTGGCTCAAAACTGCTCCAGTGCACAAGGGAAGGTTGTAGCTTATAGATGTCAGCAGAACCAAAGTGTTGAAGCCGACAAAAAGGCCCGGATCTTCCCAAGCCATGCTTTGTGATGGACTGGTGACCTGTGCAGGGTCTTTCTCTCATCAAGGAAAAAGTGGTACAGATGATGGATAGTTCCCAAACCAGGCACTGTATCGCACAAGTAATAGTGTTGGTTTTTATTTCAGTATTCCAGCACTCCATTCTGTCTCCGTGGTTAAAATATTTATATATTTTTGCTTCCACTTGTGTGAAGCAAATCCTATTTATTACCGATTCCCTTCACTCACAAATGTCTTTCCAAAAATCCCCGTCTCTCCAACCTGGAATATGGTTTAGAGGACTACATGGTGGAAGTGCTAGCAGTACTGCTGCTGACTTTTGTTTTTTTAAGTATACTAGATATCAGAAAATGTATAAAACCAACCAATTTTTTTTTGCAGTTCTGTTGAATAAACTGTTGACATTGAGGCTTAATTATTTGTTATAGAATATGGTCAGTCGTAAATAATAGGTGCTTTAAAAAAACAGTTTAGGAGTAACTTTACACCTTGATGAGTAAGCCTGGGTTTTTGTGCTTTGATCCCATCTAGTTACTGTAGTTTAATCCAAATTAGTTTTACATTTATTATGGAAATCTGCAATCCCACAAAGACGTGGTAAACCTAATTAAGCAGCGTGCCGTGAAGTGACACATTAATCACTCTCTGCCTTCCTAGGATGTGTGCAGCACTCTGTGGTGCACCGTCGGAACGACCTGCCACTCTAAGCTGGATGGCGCTGTGGATGGAACAAGCTGTGGGGAGGACAAGGTAAATACTCCGATTCGAAACGGATCTGAAGGCTTTGCTAGTCAAAAATGTCAATCTTCTATTTCTACAGGGAACTGTTCTAGTTCAAAGAAATGCTTTGCTCAATACTTTCTTTTTTTTTTTTGGAGTGAGGAGTGTTGCACTGGAAGCTGCACTGTGTGAAGATTACAAGAATCCCCAGAGATTTCTTACACTTCAGCTGAAAATAATTCTATCTTGACACCTAAAATAAGATTCTTTGACATGTTGGAAATGACCGGTCTCTTTCAACAACATAATACTTGAGCTAAATAAATCCTGTCACACTGTTATTAAACCAAGCCTAAATCAAACGAAATAAAATCACCCTTTTAGCAGAGCAATACAACTTTGTGTTTCTAGAAAAGCATTTCACATGAAGTTTTCTGGATTCCCACCAGAATTCAGCTTGTGCTGAGTACGTTGCTCACGTCCCAGCCTGACATCCTTTGCCACTACTAATTTAGTAAACGAACGCTTGCGATAGCACCTCTGTCATTTCTCGTCAAAGTCTGAGATTCATCTCAACTTCTGCATTCCTTGTGATTTCTCTTGCTTCTTATTTTTACTTGCAACTTACAATGGGGCCAGACAACCTCACCTGTCTCTGGAGTAACACCCACCCAGTTCAGACCCAAGCAGCACGAAAACATAGCTGCACTCATTTCCCGGCAAATTGAAAGTAGATGGTGTAAAATGCAAAGATTATAGAGGTCTGTCTTTCAAGTAAACATGGTGTTTGTTCCTCCAGTGGTGCGTCGATGGGGAGTGCATGCCGGCAGGCCTCAGGCCGGAGAGCGTTGACGGCGGCTGGGCTTCTTGGAGCGAGTGGTCGGCTTGTTCCAGGACGTGTGGAGCTGGTGTCCAGAGTGCAGAGAGAGACTGTGACAATCCTGTGTGAGTTTAACTGCTTCTATTTAACTACGGTAGAATAATTATTTTCCTTTACTGATTAAAAAAATTCAACTTGTAAAATCTGCTATCTTCACTATCCCTCTTGGTTTTATTTTCTTTTTCTCTGAATCAAATTTAAAACTGTTGTGAACAACGCTGTACCAGCACAAAATGATTTAAATCCCTCACATATCCTACTGTTGGTCACGTCACAGCAGGAAAGACTTTTGAGAGACTTTGTGTTCCCAAAAAGGTTTCCTCACATGCAGGCCTCGAGCTCCGGTGTCCTGCAACTATTAGGTGTGTCTCTTGCCCAGCGTGACTGAATTACCTCCCCACTGTGCTGTCAAGTTCTCCATAGGTTTGCTAATTAACTGGTTATCTGACAGAGGTGTGTCGAAGCAGAGGCAGATCTATAAGTTGTGGAGCTCATTACATACATGTAATGAGCTCCATCGATACTTTGTGGAGCCACTTTTATAATTGTAGTTTCTTTGTTTAGTTTGCATGTGTATGTCGCCAATAACTTTGCACGAATTGTCAACTGGATTGAACCACAAACTTTGACCTGCTCTCATCAAACATGGTGACACACTTTGATCTGAACTCGTCTATTGCATTTTTAACTTTATTTTTTACGGCTACCGTCTTCCTGGACAGTCAAAGCTCCTCCCTGTCTGAAATGATTTGTGGCCTCTTCCAAATTTAGTCATTCCAGATCTGGAATTTGTTTGTCCATATTTCAAACACCTTCGATCATTTTCCCTCCACTAGGTACAAAAAAGCATCATCACAGCCTGGTTCCGCCAACTCATCCTTGCATTTAATCCTTGTTTGAATGCAAGGTTGGAAGAACTTTGTGGTAAACTCGTAATGAGACTTTGGATCTTAAGACTTGATTTGTCTCTGTAAATTTTGTTTTGTTGGAAGTTTTCTAATATGGAAGGAAAATGATTGATAAGACAAATAGTGTGAATTAGCCTCAAATGGACTATGACTTGTTTTTTATATTGGTATCAGTTCTAGCTTTTAAATAAATATGTATAGATTCTAAAATATTCCAGTTGTTTGTTCAGTATTTCAAATACAAATTGTGTCATTCTTTACAAGTCTCACTAAAACAGCTGGCTCATGAGGCTCACTATGGTTTTAGTCGCATTGCATAATTCAAAAGTAAAATACTATTCCTTTATTTCAAGTTAAAATGTAACATAATAAGGCTTTGGTGATACCAATAAGAATATGAAAATACTGTGTATTTTATTAGAGAAATCAAACCTAATGCTCCACTTCATATTTTCTTCACTCTTGGCCTATAAGTCCTTGGAAAGCAGGAGAAATTAAAAATGTAAGAGACGGCAGAGCAACTGGCCCACTAATGAAGGGTGAGAGAGGCTGCGCTTTTATTACTTTCCGTCAAAGAGACATAACTTCAAAGTTATTCCACGTCTTATCACCAGAAGGTCCGATAATAGCTGTCCTTGTTAGTGGCTACCAGGGCACATTTTCTTGAAGTATGCATTACATAATGGTGGTGGAGGACATGAATTGCGGAGGTCGTGGAGCAAAAGGATGAGAGGTGAAACGCACACTCTTTGAGATTCTACCGGCCCTGTGTGTGTTTCTTCACAAAGCTGCCGTAACGCACATCTAATTATGATCAATGACTTGAAGTTATTTTCAACACATGGCTGCTTTTGTTAATTACACTCGACTGCTCCCTGCTCACTAACGCTGACAGCTGAAACAGAATAGCATCAGAAATGAACCACTTGAAGATTAAATTTACACGAAGCCGCGGCGACTTGGCGTGACCGTTGACCTTTGACGCTACTCAGCTCTTCAACAGTACCTGCCCTCCAAATGTCAATCACAATTCCCCATTTTAAAAAAAAGAAAAAAGAAATGATGAAATTATTCATTTCACTTGGATCTTTTACCCCACCATCCAGACAAGTCAGTTGTCTGGGTTTAGTAGCTTTTAGGTCTGTCTTTGACCTGCATGGATTTGGCCACAGCCAGTTTCACATCATTTTACATCCTTAATTTATTGGGGAAAAACACGACCAAATAAAAAAGGAAGAGACGGAAACCATGTGCATTAATTCATAATTATGAACACTCCTTATAAATATTGAACTGCATTTGTTTCTTTAAATGAGCTCAGTGATGACTGTCAGAGAGACATGAATCCCTTAAACCAAACCGTCTTATTTTAGCGAATCGTAAAGCATTTAACTCAGCAAGATTTTTTTCATGATCTGTATTGCTTTGAGTAGAATAAATGGTAAATAATTGCTGATGTTACAGCTGCATGGGATTTTATTTTTCAAGCAGCTTTATCATTTGTATGTTGGACTTTCAATGACTCCCTATGAATTCAACGGTTAGTAAAATGACTAATGTTGAAGTTGGGTTTTGTTTTTAAATTCTGATCAAGCTAGTTATTTGATACCAATAAGAAGCTTGTTAATGTTTATGCTGGATTATGGTGATGTAATTCATATGCATGCTTCGTCACATGGCCTTAAAATGTCGGACACAGTTCACACTGGAGCTTTAAGACTTATCAAATCCTATCCATCCGTCAGATGGTGTGACTTGTCCTCTTGCAGACTGATGGGTTTGAATCTATAAAGACTATTTCTTCAGATCTATGTCCAAAGGCAAAGTCCAGCCGGTTACAGTTTTTCTCTGTGTACCAAAGGCCAGGAATGACCTGGGAGGGGAAAAAAACTTTTAAAAATGCTGCTCCTCACTACTGTAACCAATTGCAAACACATCTAAAGATAGAGATGGTTTCATAGAGCCGTTTTAAAGGGTTCTTGGAGAACAACCTGTGTGTAGATGTTTTATGGGATTTGTTTTGAGAAAGTCAAATGTTGTATCTATGAGTCTAAGGATTGGAATGGTTTTTATATTGTTCTGCCATTGTGTAGCCCATGGCATTTCCTTCAGGATTTTATTTTCCTGGTTAAAAAAAAAAGACTAAATGAAAAATTAAATGTCAGAACAGGATAAATCAGAGTTTTTGACAGCTGGAAAACATTTCTCTAAATATGAGATCCGCTGCAAATTAAATTCATAATAATTTTTACTTGTGAGGTAAACCTAGAAATGAATAATATAAATGCTGAAGAGATAGTATTGTCGAGTAATAAATAAAACCACACAAGTTTTACAAAGAGATGCACCACATTAAATGCAGACTCACCCTTGTGTGTTGATTTACAGTTGCAGTGATGTTGTTCCACTTTGACAGATTATTTTCTGTGAACCTTTTAGAAAAAAGGTTCTGAATGTTGAAGGTTGGCTGTACGTGTGCAGGGAATGCTGAGGAGCCTCTCTCCCATTTATCAGTCCTCCACCTTGTCGAAGAATGCCATTAAGCATCCTTTAAGTTTTTCAGCTTGTGCTTCTGTTCTTCTGCTAGTGAGATGGGTTGATTGATGGAGGTTCTTAGTGACGGCTGTGACTCTGTTGATGCAGCTTCAGTTTTAGCTCTTTCTCCGGGGATGAAGGTGGGACACTGGGGATTCCACAATTCAAAATGGCTGCTTTTGTCCGTGGGCATTCCAGCTCAATCACGTAGTGGGAATATGAGAAAAAAATCCTACAATTGATCAGTTTTGTCATAAAGGGAGGCACTGATGAGGTAATTCATACAAGAGTTGTGGAATTTCTTGACAACTGGACTTGACCAACCCTGCTGTTGGGTTTTCCTTATCCAACTTGCACCAAAGGATCCTCACAAAGGCCAATAGTAAGCTGGTCGTTTCCACATTGTCAGCATAGTTGATAATGATTGGGAACAAATTTTGGGTCACTGGGTTTAATATCCTGAGAGTTGAACAATGCAGGTTCATAAGTTCACAGTGTAATGGTTGCATTTTACTTATTTGGTCATGTCTGTGTGGTTCATATGTTACCTGTGCCTTCATGTCCTGAGATGAAAAGCAACAAGAGCCAAAAATTGTTTGGTTACTTTTGGTTTCCTTCTCCTCATCACTGCTTATTGCAGATGGAAAATTGATTTTGTCACGGCTCATCACAAGGGTGGTTCTGTTCATTCGGATGTCATTTAAGATCTAATTGCTTGAGAGTTCAAAGTTTTTTAACAAATTGTGAAGATCTGTCTTGGGTAACAAATCTTGGACAAAAGGTGTTTGTTTGAAAGGGGAACAAGATGTGTCTATTAAAATTTGAAATCTGCTATGTTTCCCTGACACATTACAAATGAACTATGGTTCTAGATCTCAGTTTTTATTTGGTCTGCTGCAAAAAAGAAAGAAAAAGGTTTTCAAAGAAACATACTTGAATAAAGCTATCTCAAGAAACAGCTGCTTTTTTAAAAAAAAAACTAATTTATTACACTTGCATATAAGCAAATTCTGTTGTTTTCTGAGATATTTGAAAGAAATGTTGACACATTTGTCACATTCTGTAATTTCCCAAACTCCCCTGTTTAATCATTGGCAACAGGCAGAAGGCTCTCTGGACAACGGAGAATTTTGTACTGAAAATAGTCGTGAATGCCAAGCAGAATAAGCGATTTAGCTTCGCCGTCTCCACCGGTGAAGGTCTGACATGCCACATATTGTGGGAATTTCCATTTTAATTGCCTTCAGGCATATGTCTCACTTGTCAGAATTGACTTCCAACTCCAGTACTAAAAACAAGTGCTAATCCTTTCTACTTCTATAATAGAATGTTTTTCTATTTTTTTGTCTTTTCCAATCATGACTTTCCACATTTTCTTGCACCTTGATCTGACATTTTATGCCTGCATTTTCATTTACCCAGATCTTACTGCTTGTCGAAACCTCAACAATAACACATCTTTAAATTTCCCACAGTCCAAAGCACAGAGGAAGATACTGTCTGGGAGAGCGCCGGCGGTACAGGCTGTGTAACACCACACCGTGTCAAGCTGATTGGCCTTCCTTTAGAAACATTCAGTGTGCTCACTTCAACTCCCTGCCCTACAAGGGCAAGTTCTACAAGTGGGAGGCAGTTATCAACAAAGGTGAGTTTGTCCAATGAAAGACATGCTCTTTCAGTTTTCCTCCTTCTGTTTTTAAAAATGCACAAACCGGTGTTGCTATCTATTGGCTGCCATTTTCTGTCATAACAAGTTTGTGTTCAGGTGGTTTGTGCCTGTTTTGTTTGTCATGTGCTTTGGATAATCAAGGTTGGTTATTGGTTAGTTTTTTTTTTTCCAAAATACTTATCAAAGGCCTTATCCTTGTGTCAAAAACTTCTATTCATTATTTATTCAAGATCATTGTCTCTGGTGTCCCCAATTCTGATTTAACTGTTTATTTATGTATTGGATGAAATGAAAGAAATGTGGGACTGAAAAAAACACAATCTAATATTTTCCACTGCATAAGTTCAGTTTTATGTGAATAAACAGATTTTTTTTATTTTTTCACCTTGTTAGCAATACCTCCGTCTTAACTCACCTTGAATATGTTTGAAATGCCCCTGCATTTCCTGTGTTTGGCTCTTTGTTTCCCCTCGCAGTTAACCCCTGTGAACTTCACTGCCGTCCCCTGAATGAAAACTTCTCAGAGAAAATGCGAGACGCCGTCGCTGACGGGACTCCTTGTTACGAAGGCAACAAAAGTAGAGACATGTGCATCAATGGCGTTTGTCAGGTATCGATGAATCGCATGTTCTAAACTCCACTTTGGTTTCATTTGGATGGATATGAGATGGTAGAGCTCCGATAAGCTTTAGTAAAAATACAGTGAATTGTTTTTGGGGATTTCACAAAATTTGCAGAAAAGTAAGCAAAAAAAAAAGTGTGCTATGTTTATCACAAATCAGCGATTATTACAGTGTTACCTGTAGCATTGATCAGTTTATTTTAATACATAGCGTAATGCAACATCTACAATAAATACCGTCTAAATATCCCAAATCTCTCTTGCTGGGATGAAGTCTTAGTCTTGTGTCTGACGGAAATTATGTTTCTAAATTGCCAACCACAGTTTGAAGACAGCCTGGAGTTTCCATCCCATAACTCTCATTTCTTGTTCCTCTCAGAAATATTTCAAAAGCAGCAAATTTGTATTTTCTTTAATAAAGAGAAGAGAGAACCAGCGTTCTGTCAGCAAACTGGGGGAAGTTATTGCTTTACCGTCAGCACCATTCAGCAATCATGTACTTTCTGTTGCATTTCTCTTGCAAAGGACTTTCAACAGTAGAAGAAATATATATTTATTTTAAAGAGTATATTTGTAATATACTGAAATATTAGATTCACAAAGATGTTGCTATAAGGTTTTACTTATTCTGAAAGTGTAAATTGACCATTAACACCAGTTTGCGTCGCTATTTCTTGTTTTTCCAGTTGTGTTTTTTCAAGCAGTCCAGTATTAAACATCTTATCTTGTCTTGGTTGTTTTTATTGTGACCTTAGCTTCAGTGTTGCATTCATCTGTTGATATGGGAGCCACGTAAAGTTGCTGTCCGATTAGTTTTCCTTACTGACTGATTGCTTTAGCCCAGGCCCCTGCTGCATTTATTAAACCTTACTTGTTCAGATTTAGCTCCCAGCAACTCCTTTGCTTGACAGAATCACAACATTAATTATGCAGGCGTTGAATTTAACCCTCACCTTGTTTTCTCTGCGGCCACGTGTGGCGTATTTGACATTCTGCGCGACGATGAGCATGCCGATAGGAGAATGAGCCGCCGTTATCTGTCTCGATAGGTGAGAGCACAACATGGTGTTTTCACCCCAGGCTAAAATGCCAGCCGACTGATAGACGATGTTTGTCCGTATGCTCAGTGGACACCAGTCAGACCTGGCTTTATGACATTTAGTGACATTTTTGTCACTCACCCAAAAACTCTTTGACTTGCCAGCGGAAAAGTCGCTGCGTTATTGAAGACTGATCTTTTGTTTGTTCGTCCTTCTTTACTTTGTTTGACTGAGATCAGTGTCTCCATACCAATTCAACTCTCCAACTTTTATTCTGTTGTGGAAAAATAAGTCTGCAATGTTCTTAGGGCAGTTTTACGATAATCTGTTTTCTTCTACTTTAATCATCAACTTCACAGCTTGTTTTGAAATGTCCATTAAAAAAAACAACAAAAAAAAAACATTAATTTACTTCTCATTTGTGGTGTTCATTCATTATTAAAAATGTGTTGCTGATAAAATTGTACTGACCTTCGGGACAACAAACAAACACACGCAAGGCAGCGCCTGTATTTGCAAGTTAGTAGCATGACGTGTATCTGTTTTTGTTTTTCTTAGGAATGTTAAAGGGCTGAATCAAGTTTCCCACCCCCAGAAAAGAGTTTGAAAACTTTTGTTGCTGTGTTTCTAAATGTCTATGTTGACCTGCAGCTGTTATTTATTCATGTACAGATAAGGAGGTTTAAACAGGTCTGATATTCTCAACAAAAAAAAGAAGAAAAATTTAATTAAAGCGCTCCAGAAATAGTTTTTGCTGGTTTCCCCACATCAAAAACAACCTGATCGACTAATTTAAAAGCTTTTAGCTTTAAAAGCTTCTTGTTATCTTTGCTTAACCAGCATGCACACATCTGCAAAATAATATTTTGCTCATATCATTGAATTTCATTAACTGACGTCTACCGCTGAGCGTCTCTCACTCTCTTTTTTGTTGACTGTTAAATATCCTGCCTTTTGTATTTTTTTCGCACTTGGTCTGAGCAGCAACTCTGCATGGATGGAGATTAAAACAGGAAAGCAACACAGGAAAAAAAAAAACGTAAAACTATACGTTCATATTTGTGTCGCTCTCCTCTGGAACTCAAAACTGATGTGATGCAGATTGAGCTGTTTTTGTGATGTTTTTTCTTTCATGGTCTGAGTAAAGTAAATATAAATTGATCCTTTTCAAGAGCTTATCTCTCTAGAGACAAACGATAAACGTTCCCTCCCACGGATGTCGGCCTTAAAGTCTGCTGGGATGCCGTTTGACACTTCTGGGCCTGTTTTGCTACAGAGCATCGGCTGCGATTATGTGATTAACTCCAGCTCTGTCGAGGATCGCTGCGGCGTCTGCAACGGCAACGGCTCCACCTGCACAACCGTCAGGAGGACATTTGAAGAGAGGGAAGGTTTTGGTATGTTTTTCACCGATTAGGATGCTTTGATGCAAATTCGCCATAAAGGGCGAATTTGTACAATATGATTTTAAAAAAAACTAACTTTTCTGTGGATTTTATTTAACTGATAAAGATTGTTTTATTCTTTTTTTATTATTATTTTACCCCTGATATGTTATCGTTCAGAATTGTTTTGTAGTTGCAAATTTAGAACTTGAAAAAATAAAACTTTCAGAAATATGAACTTCTGCTTAAACTAAAACTTACTCTGTATCTTTTATATATTTTCTTAATTTCTACCTTGCATGTTCATTTGATCTGTTCACATTTGTTCCCAGAATGTCTTGCTGAATGTTTAATCTGACAGAGGTGTTGCTGTTTAGGCTATGTGGACATTGGACTGATCCCGGAGGGAGCCTGGGACATCCTAATCGAAGAGGTATCTGAAGCTGGAAACTTCCTGGCGCTGCGGAGCGACAACCCCAACAAGTATTTTCTGAATGGAGGCTGGACGATCCAGTGGAACGGGGAATACAAGGCGGCCGGAGCCGTGTTCACCTACGAGAGGACAGGACAGCTGGAGAACCTGACGTCCCCTGGGCCCACGATGGAGCCGCTGTGGATTCAGGTAGGATGTTCTCTTGAAAAGCAACGCCTCCCTTTGTGTCAATGCTTAAAGTCAGTGCACTGTTTGCTTAGAGTGCTGCAGGTCTATGAATAAAAGCCAACGGATGAATTATTTTGTTTTTGCTCCTACAGTCAGGGAAAATGTTGTCAACCAAGACAGAGCTGAGGAGAAAGTAATGACCTTAGAGAAGTAATTGTTAACACTCATCAATCTGTAAACCGCTAAAAGGTCAAACTCCAACATTCTGGTTTGTAACTCTGAAGATCATCATTCTGGACAAGAAAGAGCTCATTGAGCAGAACATGTATTTTTGGCTGCAAAGACTCAGCCTCTTGTGGGTGGAGGGTGTGGCAGCATGTGTTTCGCTTTCAAGGTTTGAACCGATGGCCGTGGGTCAGACGGAAAAATCTGGGCCAGGAAAACTGGCCCAGATTTTCTGCCCGATTAATTTGTGCATCACAAACTAAAATGGCGCTGCAGGAATGCAAAAGTTCAGCATTGAGGAATTTCTGAAAGCCTTAACAAAGTGATCCAACATTGGGAAGAGGAGTGAGCCAAGACCTCATCACAGCAAAATTAAGGAACTGATTAAATCATTCAAAAAGAAAAACAACTAAGATTTACGTCTTTCTTCTTCCTGTGACACTTCTCTCCAACTTGGAGTGAGCGGCGCGCTGAAGTTTGGCTAAAAACTTACTGAGTGCAGCAAAGAAAAACAACAGATTAAATCATCTCCATGTTTTTCAGCTGCAAACCCCTCGGCAAGTTAGAATTGCTTCTTGCAAAACACTTTGAGCTTCCTCGACTATTTTGCATGCGCTGCTCTTTTGAGGTGGTGTGGAGGGGTGTGGCAAAACCTCCAACCCTTTTCTTGATGCCGTTTGTTGTGAATTTGGAGGGGATTCATATTTGGTATCAGATGGAGAGAAAATGCCTTTCCTTGTATCTAATTGATTCCTTTACTACATCTACCATGTTGGAGTTTTCTATTTCACCAACAAAAGCACAATAAATGACTAAGTTACCATCCGCCGCCTTCATTCAGAACTGATTCTCTCAGGTTTCTCACTTTCAAATGTAAATGCTGCAAATCTATTTAATTATTTAAAGTTCTTGACAAAATGCATCACGTAAAAGTTAAGAATTGGTTTGTATTCATTGAGTTCCCTCTGGGTACTCTGACTTCCTCCTACAGTTTAGAAACACGATTGTAAAATTATTTGGATTTATGGATGGATGTCTCTGATTCACACAAATCACTCAGCTGTTCACATCCAGAAACTCCTGAAGTGAACTTCTGCAGCTCATCAGAATCAGTTCATTGAGTTCCAACATCGCTGCCATCATGACCGGACCAAAGACCCGACAAGGCAAATCGAACGCAAGTCAGGAAGTTTCTGGAACGTTGCCTTAAAAGCTTTAGAGAAGATAAAAGTCGACGGAGTGATCAGTTGGCCGTGGTCTAATGGAGAGAGGATGATCATGAAAAGCTACACCAGAGGAAGTAGCTATTGATCTGAATGTTCTGAACACAGCTGGCAATATGTTTTACATTGATAATGCCTTATAGAGTATCCCACCGTGTCTTCCCTCTGCTTTAAAGCAAGTGTGCAAACTTCTCAATTCAGCAGCCTTGTGATAAATATATTTTAATTGAATTTCTGGCATTCGGTAATATGTGTGTATGCACTACTGAATTCAAATGAGTTGAACTCAATCATTTAATTGAAAATATTCTCCCATTTTCTACATTTCTGCTTACTGCCAAATTGTTTTTGTGTTTTTTGTTGTTGTTTTTCTTTACTTTAACCTTTTGCTCAATTGTTCATATTCTGATGAGCGAATACGAAAGTCTGCAAACACGTTCGCTTAACACAATTTAAAATGTTATTTTCTGTTCAGTCTGTTTGTTTTATTTATCTCTTGTTTTTATTATCTGGACCTGGAATTGACTTAGTTCTCTTTTTTGTAATTTATCTTACGTCAAACAGAAATATGTCCCTGAAAATTGAACCATTGAAGCGATGGTAGTGCTTCAACTGTTCTTCTTTTTTTGTTTGTTTTTACTTATTGATCACTGCCAGGAAACCAAAAGCAACTTTTTAAAATCAAATCCGGGAGTGACAGTTGTTTGCTGCCTCCAGCTTTGCTTGCCTAAATTGACAGCAAAGGCTGGTGAGAAAAAAAACAGCAGCTGAACAGAAAAACTGGTGAAAACTCATTTCTTACTCCTTTTGTTACTTTTATTTTGTGCTCTAAAAGTTCTTGGAAAATGAGCCGCATCTGGACTTCTCGGTTAAGATTATTAGAAGAACTCACAAGTCTCTCGCTTCCCAGCTCAGATTTGTGTGTTTTTGAGGTGCAGCTTCTCTGTTTCACTTTGGTTTTGTGCCATTCACTTTTCTTCAGATCTGTGCTGCTAAGAATAAGTGACTACAGCAACAGCAGACTTTTGTAATGATTCCACCTCGTGTCCCAGCTTCTGTTTCAGGAGACCAATCCAGGAGTGCGATATGAGTACACAGTCAGTCAAAATGTTTCAGAGGATGATGACAGTCCCGGGCGTGTTTACTTCTGGAAATACGGATCGTGGACTGAGTGCAGCGTTACCTGTGGAAGAGGTAAGATTAGGTTTAGCCTCAGACTTTAAAAGCTAGATAAAAAAGGGAGGAGGAGATTACATGCAGGGTTGTTTTTTTTTTTCAAATATAACACATTTTCAAGAATTGATAACAAAAAACTTGTGCTGCATTTGAAATGATGTGCTTTTTTTACACAAGCCTAACCGCTGCATGCTGCGATTACGGCAACTTTAAGTATGGACCCATTACAGCTACGTGCGCTACAGGTGGCGAGTGAGTGGTGTGTGAAAACGAACATCTGAGGGCCGGCTTTGATCCGCTGGCTGCAACATGTCAGGTATCAAAGTGTCGGGCAGAAATCCACACAGATTGCTCCTAAAACTGCTTTCGTGCAGACTAGAAAACGCAGAAGAAAATGTGTCCTGGTGACCCTTCAGCTTCAAAGCGGCTTGCTCTCTGATGCTCTGATGAAGGGCTGGAAATTCCTTCTGTAAAAATGTTCCTCTCATCAGATGTGGTGCAGAGTGCAGGCTAATTTGCTCCAGCACTATCTCCCTGTGCACAAAGCCACTTGTTAGAAGTCTAACCGGAGACTCATCTGACCACATCAGCTGCTCCACTTGCTGGTGCTGACAACTTGATTACCGATCCGCCTCTGTGCTGAGGTAATAATGTTTTGTGTGATATTCACCTGCTGTTGTACACGGCCTGATTACGCCCTGTGCCGATATTCTCATGAACTTTAAAAGAAAAAAGAAAAATAGCCTTTTTTCTCACATCGCACTAAAGCACCAGCCTTACGTCATCAAACCTGCGTCACCAGCTGCATCGTTTTATTCTGTTTACTGCTGAGTTTTTCAAAGACCTAAATAGAGAGAAGCACGTTCATTTGGGCCCTCGTAGCTGTGGCTCTGTTGGGTTTTTTTTTTTTTTTGCACATCCCAGAAATAAATATTAGAAGCTACTGGCCTAATTCTGCTGCAAGGTGGAGACATGAAGAAGCATTGCTTGTACCGTTGAGCAGATAAGTCTTCTCACCAAGAGCCTTTGGCTGTTTGGAGTTTTAGTTTGATCCTCACAAGGGTGCGGTGACTTTGCAGCAGCATCCTCCGATCTGTTGAAAACTTTCACAAATCCCCTTAAAAACATCTTCTTTGGGGTTTTTATAAGTATTTTTTCTGCGTTTTCCCGGACTACTCTTGTGCATTCATTCTCGGTTTTCTACATTTCATTTATTTAAATCTGGATATAAATGAGTGATGATGACTCATTTCTGATTCTGACTAGTTTTTCATCATCTCGTTATGATGCACGCTCTGCAGAAAGGTGAAAGGCGAGCGATTGTCTGAGATTGTAGATGATCTAAAACTAAGCTCAGTCACATGTGATTAATGTTATTTAAACAGGAAAAAGTGCTTCTGAAGTTTAAAAATATCTCATATTTCAAACCATTCTGCATACATAGTAAGTAGCTCTGGAGTGTTTGAGATGTTTGTGGCTTGTTTTCATTTCTTTGTTGTTCTCTTGAAGGCAACAGAGCAATCTTACTTGAATCTTTACCAGTCTGAATTTTCATTTAAACGTTTTACATGCTCTCTGTGAAATAAGCCACAAATAAGTGAGTTTTCCATAAAGATTCATACAGGCTGTTTATGAATCAAAAGTATTGATACGCCCTAAATTTGTTCATATGTCGTCACATTACAACCACAAACATGCATGTATTTTATCTGACTTTAATGTGAAAGACCAACACAAGGTGATATCCAGTTGTGAAGTGGAAAGAAAACAGTAATGACTCAAAAGGTGATTTGCGAAGATAAAAAGTGCAGTGCATTTTTTTTAGTTTAGTTTTTTCAAACCTCCTTTGTCAGACGGACATAAAATCTTGTCCAAACGACACATTCTCCTCCTGGAAGACGCAGCAGTGCTGTCCTGTTAAATGAGCCATTGATCCCCAGACAGATGAGGGGCCCCCTGTCAAGCGGGACGCCAGCTGAGGGACACCAGCTGAGGGACGCCGGCTTCTGACCATTTTCCCTCATCAATACTGAACTGCACTCAGAATCAGTGAGGCCCTGAATCTGAGTGGAGATGTCCTCAATGATACTTCATCCGGCACTTTGGTCGCTTCTGGGTGTCGACTTTGCTGTGAAAAAAAAAGAGTCTGTGCAGTTTTGTCCAGCAGTGTGTGCATTTAGTTCCTCTGAAATCTGGAAACAAACTGGTAAAAAAAAAAAAAAAAAGAAAAAAAAAGAAAAAAAAAAAAGGAAAATCAACCAGAAGTAACAGAATCATCATATCATGTCAAAAATGTATTATTTTTCTTTCTGTGAAACATAGACTAGTCAGCATTTTATGGTTGCTCTCTCACTGCACAAAATGAGGATCTGCACAAGAAACCTGAGCAGGTTCTGTCACTTGACAAATTTCTAAGGATATATACATTAATAAAACCTGGGTAAGGAAACCATTTTTCTTAGAATTTTTTTTAGAATTGCGACAGGAGACAAAAATATTATTTTTTAAAAATAGTATTTTTAAAAAATATCCATAAGAGATTATGGATATGTGAGAGTAATTTATTTTTTAAAGGTTCACACTTTGCATATTTTATCTGCACATCCATTTCTCAAATTGTTTGTGGAAAATACAATTTATTCAAAATGTCTGGAAGAAAATGCAGCTTCAGAAGGAACAATGTTACATAACATCACAACATGACATAGAGGTTAAAAAAATAAATAAATAAAGTACATTTTGCATGAAACTCCCCTTTTTTAATAAAGAAGTTACATCAGAAGTTCCCTAAACAAGCCCCATCTCATTTCCTGCTCAACAAATGTTTAACATTCATTTGATGCTCTGCTTTTCTTCCTAATCTAAATTAAAACCGACGTATTTATCAGACCTGCATTCGGGGCATTTTTGCTCAATCTGAGCCTTTAAAATGGGAATCAAATAAAACAATAAATTGTGTTAATCTGATGAAGAAATAATAATAATAATAATAATAATAATAATAATAATAATAATAATAATAATAATAATAATAATAATAGGACCCCCGTCCAGCTTGACCAGTTCAGTCGTGGGAAATCTGATTGGGCCCTTGCTTGATATCAAGCTGTCTGCACCATGAGGGAGTCCTTTTATTTCTTTTATTTTTTGTTTTACTTTGATGCATTCACCCTACTTGCTCCTAAAATAAATAAAAAGGCTTTTTTCAGTCAGTATATGCAACGTGTCCCCCTCACCACCTTGGGGGGATTCTCTGTTTAATTCAGCAGCACAGAAATAGATACTAAGTTGCCCCTGAATAGGAGCAGCTCATAACCATATTTTAGATAATTACATCCCATCTTAGCTACACACATCAGATCTTTTTTTTTTTAGGACCTGATTTTAAACCTTAATTAAACCACAATTATAATTACATGCTGTTATGTAACCAGTTTTATAGCATTTAGTTTTCCATAATGCTTCCCATCATGTTCTCATTCATTTTGTGTCTCTTTACATTTTGATGAATATTATGTGCACTCCAGTGCACATAAATTGAATCACATAAGTTGAATCAGTGCATTTTGTGCTTGGGTTCATTAAGCCAGTTGGATGAATTCATTTCCTGTCTGTTGTAGATATAGTGCACTAATTTTATTTCTGCCGTTACAGTTCAAATATGTCTTAGAGGCATTAAGTATTGAAATTATTAACAAACCACTGTTGGTATTTCTGTTTTGTTTTTCAAAAAACTTGAAAAAATAAATATTTCATAATGCCTTTTTGAAAATAAACAGGCCTTTGAAGACTTCAGTAAAAAGCAGCAAATGATGAATACTATAATGATGAGTCAACAGCAAGACACTCCTCAGTAGAGTTTTCTATCACATAAGCATATCGGCCAAGTTGCACAGATCTAGGAAATCACCTAGAAATAAAGTTTCACAATTTCATAAGACGGGGGAGGGGATCGATCTCAACTGGGAACTAAATTTGCATCAGTGTTTATTTTTTCCACAGATATGCAGATGTTTATATATAGACTTTCCGCGATATGCTCCTTCAATCACAGCTGGTGTCTATATGTTAGTGTTGTGCTGTTTTAACCCGGCGACTAAAACATGAACTGACTGTAAGAGTTCATCAACTCCTGCAAGAGTTGCTGAAAAAGAGAACAGTTATAAGAAATTACAAACAAAATATGATTGTCTTATTTCAGGTTTACCTCCTGTGTATTTTGTTTTTTTGTTTTTTATTTTTTTTGTTTTTTATTTTCTCAATCCTTTAAAACTAAAAGAGGGCCTGGTCTTTGTAAGCTGTCGCTTTATGCGAGAATCAGTCTTTCTCCTCATGATAACCCATGAAAGGCTTGTGCTGATTGAAATTGTTTATGAGAGGCTCACCAGATATTTGGGGTGAAGTGTATTGCAGCAAATGGCAAAATGGCATTCATTTCCTTTAAACTGTGATGATGAATAGTTGTTTGGGAGCTCAGTGCACTAGTAGTACAGAGGAGAACCTGCAATCATCCACGTGTCAACGTGCGACAACAAAGACATTTGAGTTTGCATCCAAACAGATTTTTTTCTCTTAAATCAATGGTGTTTCTCAGTGATGACAAAAAAAACTGAATGCACCCTCATGCAAAATGAATATGATGTATTTCTGAATAAACATTTCCCCCTAGAAGGTCTTCCAGTCGTTTTGTTTTCCTTTTTCCTTTTCTGTCTGGCTTTCAGTCTAATCTGGTCCTATTGACATTTTGGGAGATGCTGTTTGTAAATCAGACTTGCACTCTGGCCTGGAGAAGGATCAGAGCAGGGGGTTGTTAGTTGCTTCCTGCTCCTGCAGAGTGAAAGTCCCCTCCAGAGGGTGAGAGGAAATGTGCAGGGTTGTTGGAGATAAACCTGTCAGAACTTAAGGAGAGGCGTCTTTAGATGTACTGCTGCTGTGTGTAATATAATTTGAAAGGCAAAGTGGCTCTCTAAAAGGAGGCTAGTTACTGAGATGTGTTTCAATATGTGTTTGGCATGTATTATTTTATATTTTCTTCTCCTCGGAAAGCATGTAGCTCTAATGCAGGAAATGCCAGGCTAAATTGCTTGGAAATAATTAAGTCATTTCTATACACGAGGGGGGAAAAATACATTAACAAAGCTGTGACGATGTCCACAAAACTGAATTAAGGTTTTTCTAAACAGTGATGATGCTTTGAAATGTATTTTTAGTAACTGAAGCAATGTTTCTGTCATTCGTAAAATGGCTCAGCTCCTGCTTTAGCTTAAAAATAAAAGTATTTATACTTTAAGAAAAAAATATTTATTTATTATTATTTAGTGCATTACATTTAGTTTTGGAAATCTAAAAAAAATGTGTTATAGTCACTATCATCATGTAAATATAGGTTATTTTCATATCTTTCTTTAACATTTCCCCAACATTTCTTAGCCTCTATTTCTAAAAAATGTGAGCATACTGGAAATATCTGCTGACGCAGCACATGGCAACTGATGACTTTGTAATTTTCTTGGATGAGAGGCAATCTGGGAATGCAGGATGTCAGTGACACACCGGGCAGATTAGATTACTCCACTGCCAGGCTTCACAATTAAATAACCGACAAACACCAACAGGAAATGCATGACCCGGACCAGAGTTGAGGGGAAGATTCTTCGAAAAGGTTCATGAATAATCTGAAATCATTGTTTGCTACAGGCTGCCTTCAGCACTCACCAACTTGATGGCAGAAGAAATTTTCATTTCTTTTTGCTTTCCTAGCAGGAGCATAAAAGCACCAACCAGAGGGAATGAAGGATTCTCTCGCCAAAGGCAGCAATGGCTTCCTCCTTGGAGTAAATAGCGATGTCTTTCCTTCCTGCCGCTGTGCTAACACACATCTCTACACTCTAGATGCCGAGATACTTACTCGTTGCTTTAACTGGAAGTATTTGCCATTGTCCCCCCTTAGCCATATGATGGCATTAGATGGCAGCAGGGTCTGATTTTGTGTTTTTTTCTTTTTCCCATGTCTGCCTGTACTGCTATGGGAATCTCTTTTTCCCCATGACTGTGACATAAAAACATACCACTGTTGCTCCGTGTCATGGTCCTGTCGTTCTCCTCCCACTTGTTTTCCAGGTGTGCAGAGGCAGATTGTTTACTGTGTGGAAAAGACGACCGGGATAGCTGAGGAGCATCTCTGTGACCCCTCCACTCGGCTCAATGACAACCAAACCAGCTGCCACAGAGATCCGTGCCCGGCCATGTGAGTCGGCCATCCAGACATGCCGCAAGTCACGACACGCTGAGCTTCCCCAGACAAACCCGGCACGTTTTGTTTTCTGCCGCAACTGCAAATCATATTACGTGATATGATGTCTTACCATACAGGGCACACCTTTCTCACAATATGAAAAAGAAGTAATACTTGAGGTACTCATTTTAATTATTATCAAGAACACTTTGCATGGAGGTTTTACATGCTTAGCTGCAGCAAACACAAACATCAATTAGAGGAAATGTTTAAATCAGCTTATTAGTCTTTTAACATGAGATTCTGAAACTGGAGGTTTTCTGTAGCGTTTCTCCATATTTACCTCAAACCAGCGCTGGTTTTTTCTGAAAGCCTATCATCCCACCATCAATGCAGGTTTTCTTACTTCATAATGGACAACACAACTCAAGATCAAAGAGCATTTTTTTTTCTTCTTCTTCTTCTTCTTCTTTACTTTCACACACTTTTTGGTACCAAAGTGTAGCTTGTTAATTAAAAAAAAAAACTACATTTCTCTCAAAACTGATTGTTGCTCTGAACTGAAATCCCCTTTGCTTTCACTGTGGACATGATTGTGCAGGTCTTGTCTTAACCCTTTGGAGATTCAATGCGTTTTTATTTGATTTTAAACCTTACGTAAATTGGGGAATGATTTGCCTCTAATTCCCTGCCATCAGTTTGGGGTTTTTTTCCGTTTCTAGCTCCTGTCACCTGTTCGTTTTCAGTCTCTGTGTATTCTCACTCACTAATTGTCCCCATTTCACTCATTTCTCTCGGCTTTCTCTCTCTCATGTCCTGTTTATGGAGTTCATCATGAGTTTGAGTTCAGTTTTTGTTTCTTACACTCCTGAGGATCCCAGGCAGGAGTGACTCATCTCGCCTCGCCTGCTTCATTTCTCAACTAACTAGACATGATCGAGGTCCTGTAAGAGAGCGTATAATGACATCTTCTTACACATTAAGTGTTGCAATCTAAGCCAAAGAAAGAGAGATTGGAGCATTGATTTAGAAGGTCAAATTACCTGTTGAAGTCTGCACTCAAGAAACTCAGCTTTTTATGTGTTTTGCAGTTAATTAGATTTTTCTACAGTTGACAACATTTCAAGATCGATACGATTCCTGAGAGAAATATCTGCATTCTTACAGAATGTTCCCTGAGTTGTCATGAATAATAACTTATATTCTTTTACAGGCAAGGCAGAGAAGAAAATTAGAGTCACTCGGTGCAGAGAAAAAAAAAACATGTCTAAAAAAATTTAATCTGTATTATTTCTAATCTCTTTAGAAATAAAGAGATTCTAAAAGTCATTCAAAGGAATAAATCTGGAGAATTGGGTAAAAGATGTTGATCGTTCTTGGCTGGCTGCTTTTTAAGTTGGCACCAAATACCCCCAAAATGTTAAGATTTTAAAACGTGCAAGTTGTCAATAAAGACGTCGACAAATCCTGGCAGTAAGTTCATTAAAGTGAGAAATGTACACAGATGTTGAAGAGAACTTGGAAGAAATAAAATTGAACATCATCAGAAATTAAATGAAAATAAACAAATAAGTAAAAAATCAAGCTAAAAGTATGTTCAGAGTCCTGAGGTGACTTGAATCTGAGATTGCCACTGAAATCATGTGGGAACTTTCATTTGTTGCCATCGCAGTGATGCATAAAAATGTGATGAGCACATTTTCACCGTTGCTGATGACATGCAGCTGTGTTTCAGCTGGACAAGCAGGGCAGATGGCAGCAATTACCCCTGTTGGAAAGATGCAGATGGACTTTAAAAGTTTGGAGACTTTTCTCATTGCCGCAGACAGTCGTAGGTGTATTGGTGGGGAAGTGCCGGCCTGCGTTTCTTCAGGCTGAACTAAAGATTTTGAACCTTTTATTTAGTGAAAACAAATGAACTCAATGACATTGCTACCAAAGAGTCTGGATCTGGTGGAAACCTTCCCTGTCGATTGGCCAAACATTTTTCTGTCACCTCTAATCATGACAGAGCTGGAACTGGCATCGTTTTCTGTTCATATCCAGGCCTTAAAGCATTAGAAAAGTTATGGGTGCACTTCTAAGTACTAATAAAATGCCTCCAGTTCATGTTTCTATGTTCATTCATTCACTTATTAAATTATTCACTCATAGATTTGCTTAGAAAAGGAAATATATCTTTCCACACTTGTTATGTGGCTGAAATAGATGAGCTTTTCATTTCATCAGTTACTTTAGTGTGTTTACCAAAGTTACGGCTCTCAGTTTGAAGACATTTTGTTTTTATACGTTCCTTCAATTGCAAATATAACATTAAGCCATTATTTATTTGTTTTTGATACAAAACTTTCACCCATGTTATTTTCTTACTCCTTTGACACCTGGATAGAAATAATGGAGGAGAAAACCTTTAAGAAGTTTTCCTCTCTTTCACTGCCATTTATTGCTGCTGTACAAAATGAGTTTCATCACAAAATCTATTTTTTTCTTTCCCTCTTTTACCATTTCAGTTCACCACATTGTGGAGAAAGATGCGTGTTCAGCATGTGGGCAAAAGCCTCCTTCGTTGAACAAAATTTGAGTCATTTTCATTGAGCAGCTTTTCTTTTACCCCAAGCCTGACACATTGTGAACATTTTGTGTGGGGAACAATGAGAGCGACTCAGAACCTTTCACTGCTCTGCCGAATTGGCTGGTCCGCAGTCATTTTCGTCCTGGCCATGCAGATTATTTGGAAATCGTTGCTTTCTTTGTGTCGTCTGTGCAGATGGTGGGTCGGACACTGGCATAAGTGCTCAGCAAGCTGTGGTAGCTTGGGCCAGGCAAAGAGGACGGTTCTCTGTGTCCAAGCCGTCAGTGCGGAGGAGCAGGAAGCTCTGGACCCCAGCGACTGCAAGCACATCCCCAAACCTGAGTCCACATCCGCCTGCAACGCACACATCCCCTGCCCTGCCGACTGGACCGCTGGCAGCTGGTCAAAGGTCAGTTTTCACACAGAAAGATGCAAAATGTGTTTCTTTGCTTGTGCATCACATTAATTCATATTTCTCTCTGCTTTCACACGTCAAACGTTTCAAAATGCCAGAGAAATGGCACAGGTATTTCATTTCCCTCCTGTCATTGTAGAAACAGATAACTCAAAGTTAAGCTGAGGCATTTTATCAGCCGTTTTGCTCTTTAGTCCTGGTATTAATTTCATAAGTCACTTCTCCATGTCTGTGTTTCCTAATTGAATACAATTGTAAATAGCTTTAATCACATGTGATGAAAAGATGTGTTTATGGCGTTTACAATTACATAAAGCCTTTGTCCCAGCCTCTTTGTCTTTCCTTGCATCCTTGTAGCTTTTAGTCTTTTCTTCACATCTTCTTCCACAGCATTAGGATAAACTGAAATATAATGAAAAATAATTCAAATATTTATTTCTTGATCTCCAGCGCAAGTACCTCAGATGTTTAAATGTTTCATTTGATTGAAACTGAACACTTGTTAACTCACCTAATTTGTGCATTATTCATTTGCACATCGAATGAATTGAAACCATATTCGGCAGCATCCTATTGCTAGATCTGGTTTATTACAGTTGCATAAAATAATAGAGTAAAATAATTAAGTATGTTCCAAACATCCTGAATGTGGTTATGAATTCACAAATGTTCATAGGTGAATTTTCCACCCTGAATTCATTTGAATTCAGAAGTCAACACAGTTCTAGGTCGTCTATTTATGGATACATAAAGATATAATAAATGATTGCTTAGTCTGAATTTTGTAGCAAGTTGTGATATGTTGCTTGGGAAAGTAATCTGGTGTAATCACCACTAGATTTTAAAAGATTGGAGGTTTTCTGTACACCCTGACAGAAAACCTGCCCACATGCTGAACCGATTTTTTTCTTGTTTTTTTGTTTTGTTTTGTTTTTTTTGGCTGTGGTTGTGAGTGAACTTTTGAATAAAATATAAACATAGTCTTTGGTTCTAACAGGAGAATCTAAAGGAAAAATATGTTAAACCATCAACATTTAAAAGCAAAAAAATCAAAGCCATTCAGCTTGTGAAAAAATATACTTTTTGGTAGACTAACAATCAGTGAGAGGAATACCTGCACTTTTGTTTTTCTTTTGTTTCTAATAGTTTATCTGAAATGTTTGGGGTTCCTCCCAAATGTTTATTTGTATTTCTGGAAAAGCATAATGACCAGTGTTTCATTGTGTGATTTCTTTGTTGACTTAAATAAAGTAATTACACTAGGGTTGTCATAATTTTCTTGGTAAAAAGGATTAATCTGAATATTCCATTATAGCATTAAACAGAAATAATTACTTGCAGTGACATAAAAGCATGAATAATGAAACTCTTGTTTGCCCCTTGGGTATATTTTTCTGTACTAAGTATTGTGTGGAAGTGCAATATTACTTTAATTAACAAGAAAAAAATTGTGGTGTGTAAAACATTTTTTATGATAACGTTAAATTTTGATTACATTTTATGAACTGTGGCTCATAAACTGTTTCTTATTAAAGAACAGCAAATATTACGTAAAACTGATTAGATGCATTTAATATGAATATTATCCATTTATAATGACTGAAATAAAAAAGGGAAAAATATGGATGTTGTATTTGAAACATCTTGAGTTGGAGCCACTGAGCTGCTTTTTTATCAACGATAAAAGCATTTTTTGTTATTTCTGCTGATTTTCAAATTGGTTCTTTAATTCTGAAAAATCTACATAAGATGAACTCACTCAGTAGATACTTTAAATACGTATATATCTAAGTCTTTTTATTTGTTTTAAACATGAAAGAACAATGTAGATACTTCAATCACTTCTGTCCTACTTTCTATGAAACATTTTTGGTGCTTTATTGACGCTTTGCTAGTTAAACTGCATACAGATATGAAACATCCATCTGTCATCTATTGTAGGTCCCAGGTTGGCTGCACAGCGGCACAGTTGGTAGCACTGTTGCCTTGCAGCAAGAAGGTCCTGGGTTCGACTCCCAGCCTGGGGTTTTTCTGCATGGAGTTTGCATGTTCTCCCTTTGCATGCTGGGTTCTCTCCAGCTTCCTCTCACAGTCAAAAAACATGACTGTCAGGTTAATTGGTCTCTTTAAATTCTCCCCAGGTGTGTGTGTGTGTGTGTGTGTGTGTGTGTGTGTGTGTGTGTGTGTGTGCGTGCGTGTGTCTGGATGGTTGTTTGTCATGTCAGTCTCTGTGTTGCCCTCTCGCCTGAACATTAGCTGCAGATCGGCACCAGCACCTCCCAACCCCACTGGGTCTGAGGACGTCGGAGAATCCAGCGAGAACCCATGAGGAGAATATGCAAGTTTCTTGCAGAAAGACACCCAGGGCTTCTTGCTGCTTGGCAACAGTGCAACCAACTTATCGACCATTTAGCCTGTTTTGGTTCCACTGTGTTATTTTGAACCGCAGTTTGAACTTGCACGTCTAAATGCTTGCAATTTCTTGCCCACAGTGCTCGGTCTCCTGTGGTCCTGGACTGCGCCACCGCAATGTCACCTGCTCAGGAAACACCGCAGTTGATTGTGATCCTCTAAACAAACCATCATCTGTCATGAGCTGCCAGGTTCAGGACTGTCTCCAGGTTTTGGGTAATTTTGGAGACATGGAATGGTCCGGCAGCGGCTGGTCGAGCAAGGAAGTGCTCAATGAAATAAATGCCATACCTGAAGCTAAGCCTCCCCCAAAGTACAGCACCACCAGAGGTCAGCCGAGGAGTCAGAACGACCATAAGTATGTGGTTGAAGATGATTTTCACTACCACAACAACATTGAGAATAACCGCTTGATTGACGATGATGAGCCCTCTCATGAAACCAGTGTTCACATTGATGATTTTTACTACGATTACAACTTCATCAACTTTCATGAAGACTTATCGAATGAACTCGGGCGCTTTAGGGAAGAGGCGGAGGACAACTCTCCACAGGAAGAAAAGCCAACCCACAGCATAAAAGCAAATGCTTGGACAGACATTCCACAGACTCCCACTGCTACTTCACCAGCTGCGACGATCACAGAGCTCCACCTCTTGCACAGTCAAGAGCCACTAAGCACAAAAACAGACGACCCACAGGTGAAGTCTGAGGAAGCAAATCAAGATGAAATAAACGACTTCCTTTACGAAGATCACTTCCTTCCAGTGTCTGTCACCCGACCGTCGCCACCTTCCACAAACTCGCATTCACTAACGGGAGAAAAAAGCAAAAGTCTGTGGCCTGGAGTCACCGGCACAATGCAGAGTCTGGTTTTCAGCACAAAGCAACCTGCGGAGGATGAAACATGGGATCAATCTGGAGAGGAGGTGGAAAATAACGACAGCAATTTCAGTGAAGAGGAAAATCACTTTAACCGCCTCGATGTGACTCCAACACACAGCGCTCCTGCTGCCAGACATCAAACCACTGCTGTTGCAACAAAATCGAACACTCAAGAGGCCACATTGTACATCTCTGCAGATAAAAACGTAGGGAGTTCAGAACCTTCTGGCTTTCCATTGCCAGAGGAGGCAACTCATGCTATGACTGAACTAGACAGTAATGTATCAGAAATACCTCAAACAACAGATAAACTAGGTGCTTTCACAATAAAGGACTGGATGCTGAATCAGAACAATGTTGCCAGGAGTGATGATGGCTGGTGGGACCAGCTGGACACGCCGTCACCTCTTCCCTCTCATAAACTCTTTCCTCCTGCCTTTCCTGTCCTTCTAATCTCAGGTAAACAGGGCACATCTGACGACTCCATATCTGTACCTGAAACAGAAGTCAGGTTGGATACAAATCTTCAGGGAGCTACAAATATTCCTCCAGATGTAAAACAGATACCTCCGTACACCGAGACAACTGGAACAGACCCCACATTCCAGCCTCCTTCATTTCGTCTTTCCGATTTGAACCACAATGAAATATCCGTTCCCTCAGTGACGCAGGGCCACGGTAACAGTCATCCTGACCCGGTGATCACGTCGGCCGTTCCTAAATTCAGCTCAGCTCTTCCACAGCGCACAAAATCGACTACACCCAGATCTCTGCCAACCCGTTCGCCGGGCCTGTGGCTGCATCCAGTCCAAACGTCGGCCTCCCCAGACAGAGGGCCCGCATTCTGGGTTACCGGCAACTGGAGCACCGTGCGTATTTTCAACTTATTTTTCCACATTCTACTTGTTTTAATGATGCAGTAATGACAATTAAAATGTCAAAAGTTTGAAGTATAAATTGACCAATACAACATATAGTTTGTAACTTTCTTCCTCAAACATAGTTCTTTTGCTTTTTGGTGTGGTTAATGTTTCCTGCCCCTTAAATCTCAAAGTATAAAACCAGTGGGGTGTTGATGACAAGCTGGGGAAATGTGAATTATGTCTCTTTGGTTTCAAGCTGTCAGACTCGTTCTCTCTCAAATGACTTTGTCTGGGGACAGTGCTCCACCAGCTGTGGCCTGGGTGCCGTCTGGAGGACCTTGGCTTGCAGCACCGGCTCAGAATCTGACTGCGATCCGACCAAGAGGCCTGCGCCTGCCCGACAGTGCTACCTGAGGCCATGCTCCACGTGGAAGGTCGGCGAGTGGAGTAGGGTGAGACGGCATGCAGCACGTTGGACTTGTCACTTCTGAACCGCCACATTTTGGGTTTCACCAAACTAATTATTGTCGGGAAGGAAATGTCATCCTGCTTTCTCCTGCCTCGTTGGTTTATGTGCTTCCCCTCTGACCCCGCAGTGCACCAAGAACTGTGAAGGTGGAATGAGATTCAGAGAGGTCCAGTGTTTTGACCTGAGAGACCAACGACCTCTTCGACCTTTCCACTGCCGGGCCATGTTCACCAGGCCGCCAACGCAAATGCCCTGCAACGCTCAGACCTGCCTTGACTGGTATACTTCCTCCTGGGGTCAGGTGAGCTAAATGATGAGACTGATCAAAGCTGCAATATGTAGTCATACTTCAGTATTTGATAGAATCTTTGGTAATTAGGAGGTTCATTAAAGGGAATCATTTCCTCTGATTTCTTTCTTTTCAAATGTTTTCTGGCTCATTGCGAGTGATGCTTGGTTTCATTTCTGTGTTATAAATTGAGAAAAAAATGTGTGGGGAGAAACTGAGCTGAAGGCAGCAGAAACACTCAAACATTGATATCTGACCTGATATTTGACCTTTGATAAAAGAAAAAAAAAATCGAATGTTATCTGAAAAAAATGTATATTTTATGATAATATATTTAGAGGAAAGAAGTAATAAAAATTGATAAGACCAGCGTCTTGGAGACTGAACTTACATTTTTTTCTTTAGTTTCTGACAAGAATGATTGAAATGAAACATTTATTTAATTCAAATGTAAAAAAAAAAAAAAACACAAAATATTAGAGAAAAAAATAATAATTAATAGAAAATGTCATACTTTGCTCCACCACCAAGTCTGGTGGTCGAGCAAACTACGACATGTTGTGAGAGCAGTCTGATAATTGGTGGAGAGCAGCATACCATCCAAAAGTAAGATATTTCAAAGTCCTCTGGCTGCTGGCCTTGCACTGTAGAAAAGTTGTAGAAGCAAATCACAAGAGAAACACAGAGTCTCCATGTCCTCGTGAGGGATTTGACAGCAAACACCTGGGAAAAGACCCGTCTGAGGTCCTTCTTTTTTTTTTACTATCTGGTCGTGAAGTGATTGAGCCAGGCTCACTTTACATAATCAGTTCATGTCTCACTCGTGATGGATTATCAACACTAGATTGGTGATGATCGGGGCGCCACATGGCTCATTGTTAGAGCAGCTGCACCACATATAGCGGCTGTAGTGTTATGTTATAGTGAACAGAGGGGAACTATACTGTTTTTTACCTCTTGGTACCCAGTTTGCTTCCCATCCCCAGGGCAATTTCCATGTCTTCCTCTTCTCTCTCCATCAGCCTTTTTGTCCAGCTGCACCTCAAAAAAATTGTATCCATGTCAAACTCTATAAGCTAAAGTTCGATTTCCCCTCAACATGTTTGGGCCCTGAAAAGTTCACATGCACAAAAGAGGATGGAGCTATAAGACATAGTTGTGGGAAAACATGCAGGACGATTCACTGAAACAAAAATATTTTTACCTGAGGACACAAAAATAAGCCATGGATGGTTTGGCTGCTGAGTTGCATCCTCTTATATCCCTTTCTTGTAATCCCAGATTTAAAATTCCTGCATATAATCTATGTAGCAAAAGTGCTCACTCAATCTTTCTTCTGTGTTGCTAATTAGCGCTCACAAAGCCAGCTAACACTTTCGCATCCACTTCATTTTTTACAGCATAAACAATCTGTTTTGGAATTAGCCGGAGATTTCCGGATGTTTTCACAGAGGCGATACGTCCGTCACTTTTTTTTTATTACAGAAACATCTTTTTTCAAAGTCGCCCAACTGTTTCAAAGAGTGAACTTTTTCTTTCAGCCTTTTAACTTTGACATATGAATCTTTGAGGCAGAAAAACTTTATATGTAACCAATTTTAAATTGGATGGTTGCTTTAGAAGCTGTGTTTCTAGCAGCTTGTCAGAGTGAGAGAAACTATCCCTATGTCGTTTGCTGAATTGACAGTAAAAAAAAAAAAAGACCTGACAGACCAACATGGAACAGGATTCTCAGAGCTGATGAAGAGCAAGTGACTCATCTGTCAGATCTTGGGTTAAATTTGCTGGATTTTATGAAAGATACAATTCTCAGAATCATCTGCTCATCAGATCAGATGTCTTCTTTAATCCTTCATTTATCCACCTCTCCCATTCTTTAAAGAAAAAAAAAGGAAAATGTCCTGCTATGGCCTTGAATTATGCTGAAAATTGTTGAATGCGATCAAAGTTCTCAAAAATAAGAAAAATAGTCTGAAGGAAATCTATCAAAAACTGTATGATATTCTGTGATAGAGAAAAAATGTCTGCATGTTTTGTGGTTGGATTCAAATACACCTGGAAACCTTTAAGCTATATTTAAATCGGCTTGTTTCCTTATTGCACAGTGTTACATAAGAAACAGATTGCCTCTGTGTCGGTAACACTCTCATCTTTGTAAAGCACTGAGCTGCTGCACTGTCGAAACACACTGCTGTCAGATCCGTTTTAGCTTGGTGAACATTCCTCTGGGAATTCCTGAATATTCATTTATTACACTGAGGCAATTCGGGACGGATGCTGAACTGTCAGAATGCTGCTGTTGCCGCTTAGCGCTTTTGATGTGTATGTGTGTGTTTATTTGGAGATGATTTGAAATAAATTGCATTTGTGAGGGATTTGGCATTGTGGAAAAACAGGGAGCTGACTCAGCACAGTGGAGTCAGCTCCAACACAGTCACTGCTGTTGCAAGCTTGTCCAGACGAGCCTCTTTAATAGCTCAACGAGAAAATTCTGGCTTGAAATGTTGGAAAAAAGCTTAAATATTTTTTAAATCAGTGCCATGGACCATGTGTCTGTACAGTGCAGAACACGCACTCTGAGCTCCTTCTGCATGCATTATCATGGTATGCATGCGATAAGCCTGTGGCTCAGCTGAGACGTTCTCCTTCGTAAGCTGCAGTTTATGACGTCTCTGCTTCAGGATTAGCTTGACACAACAAATGCAACGTTTGTTGCCCTTTTCCCAGTTGCATCTGTGTGGTGACTCTGAAGAACATCAGCCGACACCTTGTGAATCTTTCCCAAAGTCTTATTAATCCTGGCTGTTGGCCTATATAACTTTTTTGTTTAACCAAATGTTTTTCCTCCACTCAATTTTCCATTATTTCAGTGAGATTGTCCAGCAGTGACTTTTTTCAGCTTACCTTGTTACAGGTGACTGTGGAGGACTGTTGACGGGACAATCAGTAATTCTCCCAGATTGTGAAGCCTTAACATGCTTGACATCCATCTGTACCTGTATCATCATAATATACCCAGGTTTGATATGTATAAATCAAACAGTCCTAAATTGTTATCAAATATAACTCTCAGTTGCTATATATGCTACTTCGAGTGGGTCAGCTGCTCTTCGCACAAAAATAAATAAATAAAAACCACCAACAACATTAAAGACACACATTCCCACTCCCATCCTGTAACGCTCCGCTCACACACAGGAGAATCATGACAACCCGTCAAGCTTCGTGGTGAAGAGACAGAGCGTCAATCCCCAGACAGCCACTGATGAGAGGAATGAAATTTAATAAGCACAACGGGAAAAACGGCAAATGGAACAGAGCAAGGAAGTAGATGTGCATCCAGGCCCGAAAACGGAGACTCCGGTGCCAAAAGAGATCAAGAGCTTATGTGAGGCAGATCAGGTGAAACACGTGGAGATAAAGAAGTGAATGGAAAAGGTGAGAGTAGATACAACAGAACCTGGAGGCAGAGAAAAACTGAAGAAAAGCATCATAAACCATAAAGAAGCACAAAGGACAAAATTACAGTCTGAACTAAATACAAAGGAATAAACAAACATCGCAAAATCTTTTGATCTATAATTAATACAACAAAAATTATTTGGCGAAGTCTACTGAAGCAACTGAACAAAACATCTGATTTATTATTCAGACAAACAAAAGTTTAAAGTGTTGGAAATGTAGAAATAAAATTAATAAAATAATTGTATAAACATCATAACTGCAAAATAAATGAAGCTGAAATGCATGTTGGGTTATAAACTACAGTTTATTTATATACACTATAGTTTATATATATATACACTATAGTTTATATATATATATATATATATATATATATATATATATATATATATATATATATATATATATATATATATATATATATATATATGTATGTACATATATATAGTCGGTGTTAACACCAGGACACTTCTAGTTAATAACAAGGACTCCATTTAACTTTAAGTTTGAGGTGAATTTGATTTTGAACTTGTGTTCTTTGTAATTCATGTACAATAAACTATCAATCTATAAATCAATAGACAGATCAATATTAAATATCACCCATATTTCTGTCCCATATCTGCAAGCCACCAAAGGGATACGTTTGTTTTTTCCAGCACTAACTGTGCTTCATATTTTTTGGTGACAAAACGTTGCGATTTGGCCTTCTTGGACAAGTTTGAACTTTTCTGTATTTGTAAGGAAAAAAGTATTCCTCACAAATAGCGTTTACACTGAACAATGTGTCAGCACACTATAGATTTCAGTGGTTTCGATAAAGATTCAAACTCACCACAGAGTGGTGTTTCGGAGACGCTGCTTTGTCTGACTAACAAAGACGACCGTTACGCGAGGTTTTGACTCATCCACCTGATGTAAGTTCTGAGGCACAGCCTGAGTTTTATAAATGTTGCAGAAAAACCATTCTTTGGAAGTTTAGAAATGGTCTTCTGTAACAAGCCCGTCGCTCTTCTTCTTCCTGCACAAACACGGTAGTCACTCCTGCATGACTTCAAAACAGATTTGAACAAAAGCTGCAGCGTGTTTTTATTTTCTCTTTTTTCCTGGAAATGCCTCACAAAACACGATGGGGGGAGACAAAAAAAAAAAAGAAATAGAAGCAGGATCACATTCATGCAAGGCGTCGGTGATTCTTCTTTGTGAGACAGCTTTCATGATGGACCCGAGGAGTTAAAGCAAGTTTCCTGTCCGTTTGACATTTATGTGTGACTTTTTTGTTTTTTTCTTTCCACAATCAGGTGACAAATTTATATCTTCTCCCAAACCGTAAATGTGTACCGACTGTTTATGTCTGATGATGTGTGTTTTCTCAGTGCTCAGAGGTGTGTGGAGGCGGTGAGCAGCAGCGCATCGTCACCTGTCCAGAGGATGATCGATGCAACCAAGACCTTCAGCCAAGCGCTATTCAGTCCTGCAACAGCCAGCCTTGTGCTCAGTGGCTCACTGGATCATGGGGACAGGTACTCCAACGCAATATTCAGTCCACCTTCGTTTAAGAGCAATTTTATTGTTGATACTTTCTTAATTCTAAATGGGCTAAAAAAATTCTTTTTTGACATCATGGATGTCAAAAAATGAATTTGTCATTCCTGTCCTTTTTTTTTATCTCTGCCATGAACATTTTATGTAAAGATGATAAATCCTCTAATTTTCTTACACATGCACACGTTTTCTTCGAGGCTTGATTGGAAAATGTGAAACTTTTCTGCTCAGAAGTTTAGAATTTTATTTCAAAATTGCCCATGGTTTACATGTCAATCATTGTAAAGTGATTCCTCTCTGAAGAGAGAGTGTTTTGTTCAATATAACGTCTTCCTTCTGCCAAAGTTCACCCCAAATATCTAAACATAATTATTAGAGATGTCTCTTCCCCCCCTTCCCCAGATGTGATCTTCTTAATCAATCCCAGAATTCACATGGCAGGCTTATATTTCAAGTAATAATTTATTTCACCAGCATGTTTCATCTTGTTTCGAGTAGTAAGGCTCTTTAGTGTCACAACTAAACTAAAGATTAGGGTGATGGCACAAGGCCTTCCGAGCTCAGCACCACAGATGAATTAGTCAGAAATAGATGAAAGTTTCTAAATTAAATTTATAAAGTTCAAACTTTTTCCAGTCAAAATGATGAATTAAAATCCAAACTTGCCAGTTGAATAAATAACATTTGGATTGACTGCAGATGGGAGGATACATCCCATCTGCTGACACCCAAATTAAAAAGTTTGAGAACCACCAGGACATAACTTTTAAAACATTTTGTACTTTTTTTTAAATTCCTTCCTACACTCTATTCACAGTTGCCTAATAGCTCAGTAATTGCATTATTTCTTTTGTAAATATGAAGACTCTTTTCCTCAGTAGACGTACTGCATCATCCAAAGCACTCTGGGCCAATGATATGTAGATTCTGGTTATGAATTAATTGAAATGGAAACAACAAGTGCTCACACTAGAGATAATAACTTCTGACTTTGGAAATGACGCTGCAGAGCTAAATGATAAATTGTCAACGTTGACCATTTCAAACAAAAACAAAAAGAAAAAAAAAGAAGTGAACTGGATTATTTCGCTTTGTGAAAATGTTGTGAAATCTTTCCGTGTGCAGTGTTCAGCCTCTTGTGGAGGAGGACTGAAGCACCGGCTCATCAAATGCGTCGACACCAGGACCGAGGCTTCGGAGGAGGTGGATCAGGTTGAGTGTGACGACAAGTTTAAGCCTAACAGCACCAAAAAGTGCAACAGCTGGACCTGCAAGAGTGACCCCTCTGGTGAGTAAATCACATTATAAGTTTATTGATTTATTTTTTTCTATGCTGTTACTTCACCTCCTGTTCTGCAGATCATGACTCACTCCAAGAAAATCATTCAGGTGGACAGAATCGAATTTAATTGGGCACATTATGCAAGCAGCTGAGGCACTTAAGATCTCTGCTCCTCCAGATGAATCCTTACTTAAAATGAGAGGGATCATCTAATTCACAATAACTTCTCCTGGTTCTGAAAGAAACCTTTTTTCTGCTGCATGCAACAGTGGCCTCATTTACTGAACACCGACTCTGTATGCTATATCGACATTTTTGTCTTTACCAGCAGAAAGAAACTAAAAAAGAAATGATAATGAAAATAGACAGAACATCCAGTTCTTCTGGGTAATATGTGATCTCGAGTCACTGACTGCATTTTGTGTCAAGGGACTGGAAGACAAGCAGAGTGGGAGGAAATGGTCAGAAATCCTCCAGCCTGAATTGATCCACTTCACATCGCTTTCAAACCGAGATCTGAGTGGAAAACCTGCTGATGGATTCTGGAGTTTTCTCAGTGATCTGTTTGCTTTAAGCATCACAGAGAGCTGAGAAGACTCTTCATTGTTTGTCTGTTGTTGTTGTTTTTTATTACATTGTTTTCCAAGATTATTGAGAATGTGGAAAAATTATCTACCAGCAGCTACTGTTCTCTAAGCTTGACTTTGACCTGAACATTTGTTTCTGAAGGTCAACATAGGGGGATTTTTCACATTCTGTTGTTTTCACATTTCAGCTTTGATATCAGGCTTGATATTTCATGATGCTGCTTCGGTTGAAACTAAATCAGTGACATTTGTTTTTGTTTTTTTCCCCCCCGTGTTGCTCACTATCGCCCGAGGTCAGCAACATTTTCTCAAAATACGTTTGCATTCATAAAATAATCCTTCTCCTGCTAATTTTCATTGTGTTTTATTAAAGGCTTCACAATGAGAGTCCATGGATAGGATATCGACTCGTGATGGATGTCTGGGCAAAAAAAATACTTACAATCACCCCTACAGTTAGAATTCAGATTATTAAAACCACTGAAAGTGAAGAGAATGACTTTGATTACCTCTGTGTTGCATATGTGGAAGATGGGGTATTTCCAACAGCAGATGAACATTTCCTCTCCGGATCTGATATGTCAGTAGGAGATAAGCAGGTTTGCCTAAGGGACCGGCTGGGCAGCATCTGCAGAGCCGCTCCTCTTGTGAGGGTGGTCTTCTGCAGGTGAACCTCCTGCGGGGTCACTGAGGGAGGGGAGAGTGCAAGCTGCCCTGTGCTGTTTGATCGCACAGACGAGCTCTGATAGAAAGTGTCGTCACATTTAATTTGCCCTTCTTCTCTTTTCCTCCTTCCTTCTCCTCAAAACTTCTTCAATCATTAAATCATTTAAAGTCCCTTTAAAATGTACAACATTACCCATGGATTGTTGCAGACAAAGTGCTCCCCTTCATTCCTGATGGCCTGTGGCCCGTTTTAGCACAATAATGCACAGGCATGCATAGCTAATGTAGTTCATCGTGGTTTGACCTGACTTCTCCATCTTGTTGAGCCTCTGTGACAAAGGAGGCAAAGAGGTTTGATATATGGCGAGCATCTTGGTTCCAGATGCCTCAGCACACTTGTACTCTGCCCGATCCATGAACCAAATAGCAGTAAAGATCTTACTGGTTCTTTGTTTTTTGCTGCTTGCAGATTTCTGTCTTGTTTCAGATCTTTTTTTTTTTTTCAAGTTCAAAAGGCAACCTTATTGTAATAAAGTACAATTCTACAGCCAATATGACCGTGTGTGATAGACAGTCTCATTCATTCTCAAGTATCTGGGAATAAAGATTTCCAGACTGTTAAACTGGATTTTACTTATTGATGGTGTTCTGAAAAGCGCCGATGCATAAAGAACTGTGTGCGACTGGATGGATCAGAAGCCGATATGACAACTTGAAAGGATGTCAGGTGCTTTTATTCCAACTAGGTTAGAAGTGACTTGCAAAAAGTTTACAGAGAGGAAGCCTGGAATCAAACCACTGGCGCTCCAGTTTTAAGACGAGCGTCCTAAACCAAACGTCAGCAGAGAGAAAAATGAACGCTGGAGCTGTCAGAGAGGAGTTTAACATCATATACGTCTGTAAACCAGCGTCCTGTTCTCTTTTTAAGGTAATTCTGAACTTGAACAGTTAAATTAAGTGACCAGGAATTAGATTTAGTGAGAAGATGTTGACACTTTCACTATTCCGCTTCTGAAGGAAGTTGAATGAGTTTATTGTCCAGTTCACCTGAGTTTTTGTAGGTCTATAGCAGACATATTATTGTCTCATCTACAAGACTCGTCCAGTACTTGTATAACCAGAGCAATGGCTGTTTACACTCTTAAGGTCAAGTCTGTTCCCAGTGTTTCTGCCAGGGCCACTTTGTGCCATCGAACCAGTTTGTGGTGTTCAGCTACACAGAGAAGCGAGTCTGCTTTGAGACTTCAGCGTCTCAACTCTTCTCATCTCATTTGCTCTGGCAGCAGTTCAGACCTGGAGTTAGTTTCTGAGGCAGGTGCTCGACCAAAAAGTGATTTCCTGCTCTCTCTAGGTTGGGGTGAAGGTCTCCCAAAAGCAAAGACCCGAAAGAGTCTCCTGCAAGTGTCTTCTTAAGACACGGCGGGATGGAATACAAGATGGATGGATGCTGAAGTTACCTGGATCCCGAAGGTAAATGTTCTTGTACCTCCTCTCCTCAACTCGTAGACATGAGACACTAGTCATAAGATGTAAGTGGCTCAAATGAGCATCTTCTTGCTTGAACATGTTTTGGAGATAAGGAAGCTCCGAATAAAGGCTCTGCTTCTCTAAACTGAAAGGAGTCAATAAGAGTGGTTTAGGCCTTTCATCTGCTGGACAAGCCAATACTGACTGGAAAAAGTATTTCAACATTTCTAGCTTTGGAAAGTCTTGGTCCCCCAAAATAAACTGGCTAATATTAGTTTGAAGAGGGGTGTCTTGTTTTTTTCACCTATTGGCTACTTCTGCAAGCTAATAGATGAAGGGATGGACTGATGTATTTTTCGTCAATGAAGATATCACAATTCTTTGTTCCTGATAGATTTTTCATATTCTTCGTATCACATTCTTTAGACTAAAACAAAAATAAAATCATCCAGACGTTTTCCACCCATACCTGTGATGTCACAGCTTTCCAAGGAAACAGTAAATGGGCAGCATCTGTTTATGCACCATGGCATGATAAAGCAAATGTCAAACAAAAGCAATTTCCTTTAATATCAATCAAAGTTGTTATGGTTAGCGGCCAAAATGACAAAAGCAGCAAGCAGAATTTAAACGATAACCACAAATATTCAAAGAAGGCAGTTCGTCTTTGTTCTCTGATAATTTGACATATGAACTGAAAAATCTCAAAATACAGTGTTGGGAGGGCTGGTTGGATGCAACACCATTACTTTGAATCTGAGCTCTAGGAACAGTGAGATTGGACAAAAAAAAAATCTCACGTTTAATGGCATGAACTCTGTTGCATTTGCTCTCAACATTACTACTATCTTTTGGAGTCTGGGCGCTCTCGCTCTCAAAGGCCACATCACAAGAGCAGTGGAGAAGCTGACTAGATTGGTCTCAATGAGCTTCATTGTTAACGAGGCCCGCGTTCCATAAGCTGAAGTTCTTCTGCACGAGGAAAAGGGTGCGAACAAGGCGACTATTTGGAACAGTGAAATTACAGGCTGCGTGTGTGTGGATGTGTGTGTGTGTGTTAAGTAACCCGTTAATTATGTAGGAGAGAGAGGAAGAAAGTAGATTTTTTCTTATTCTTTTGTGAGGTGAAATGAATGTTTTAGTTGTTTTAGTTTTTTAGGCCCTTGTGGCCGTTATTTGGAAATTGGGAGGAGAGAGAAGGAAATGACATGCAGCAGATTCCCCAGGACTGGGAATTAAACCCAGGTTGACAAACAAAACCTTTAAGTAACATCCTAAACAATACCTAATTTTCAGTCTTAATATAAAGCTGGTTAAAATAAATACCTGAATTGGGCATTTCTGAGCCCCTTTTTCTTCTCTTCTCTACAAGCAGACGACACACGACTGCTTGTATAAAAGAGAGCAGCTCAACAACACAAAAGCTTAATATTTATTACAAAGTATTCATCTAAGAATTGATTTCTTCCAGTAATAGAAATGATTTCTGATTAAGTTCTCTGTTTTCATACTTTCATGGATTGTTCTTAATTTTTCCCTTTTCTACATGGTTTTCATGTTAAGTTGCACTTTTCAGCTTAGTTATTTATACTATATTTAATCTGTTATTCTAAATCCTTTTGCTAGTCTTCTTTAAGATACAGCTTTAAACACAGTATAAAAGCTGAAATTCAGTGCAGTTTAATATGAAAAGTGAGTAGAAAAGGTAATTGAAAGGTCAAACCATAAAAGCACAAGTACAGTGAAAATAAGCAGAAATCATTTCCATTAAAAGACGAAGGTTTAATTATTAGATCAAAACTTTGCTATAAATATGGAGCCGAGTGTTGCGGCAATAAAACCAGCGGAGGAAAAATGTCTAATGGACGGTGAATTGAATTAATTTGACAGGTTTAGGAATAAGACACAATAAAACATGTTGGGAGTTTCTTTTTGGGGTCGATTTGCAGCGATCAACTGACCTGACCTGCATGTTTTGGGAGATGTGGAGGGAACCGGAGCGCCCGGGGAAAACCCACGCAAACACGGGGAGACCATGCCAACTCCACACTATGAAGACTCAGTGCTAACCGCTGCGCCACCGTGCTGCCCACGTTTTTTCAATTGGGTGGGGAAGGGATCGAATTTATCGGTGGTCAATGGGGGGGGAAATATTTAACTGTTGTTAATTTCCTCCTTTCGGAGCATGCAGGTTGTGCAAGAGAGACTACAAGTTGTCTGCTTGTAGTCTCTCTTGCACGTCTTGCTCCTTCTCTAAATGTCTTCTCTCTTTTGGCTTTTTTGACT